GCTGGGAATGGGGTGTAGTCACTGGAGAGATGGCAGACGTCCTCTCAGATGGTGTCTGCCTCTCTAAGTGAGCGGGACCACGCCTGTGGACAAGAGCTGATAAAAGACAGACCAACGGGACGTGGACTCATTGGTGGCAGCCCTCCCAAGGGCTCACTCCTGGGTCAGACCTGCAGTGGCCAGAGGCCGTGTTAGGGTGCAGGGACTGGACTCAGCAGGTGCAGGCCCAGCCCTGCCCAACTTCATGTCGCCAGAGGGTCCCTTGGTCCTCTGTGCTGGAGCCCAGCCTGCACCCAGTGCTCCATTACGTGGTATGTAGCAATCCGCAGCCTCTGCCTGCTGGGGCGGAGGGAGCCATTGTCAGGGCTGTGGGAGCTATCACCCACCCTGAGGCCAGGAGCAGGGCCGTCCCCTGCTCAGGCCCTGAGCAGCATTGGTGGTTTCCTGCAGGCTGTGGGTCTGTGCCCACCCGCCCTGCACCTCAGCCGAATGCCCAGGCTCTGCGGCACACACTGGCAGTCATGACACCTCACCCCCTTCAGCTAACCTGCCCCAAGTCTGTGGGCTCACCAGGCCGTTGGCAGCAGCCGGCCTGGCACTCATGGGTCCCTGATGGGGGCGTCTGGGAAGGGAAGAGAATTTCTTTTAAATGGGTTTGGGGTCCTCAGCTGTGTGCATTCCCTAAGTGTGTGTGTGCATGAGTGTGGAGGGCATGCATAAATGTGTGTGGTGATGTGTTCACACGGGTGCTGTCCCTGGGTACACACGCCCCTGCAGTGGCCACAGGCATGGGTCCGGGGTGCGCTGTGCGGACCGCTCATGCTACGCACCTCTCTGTTCAGGTTTATGGATTGCATGGAGTCTCACGGGGCATGTACGATGGTCCCGTGTACGAGGTGCCAGCCACACCTAAATATGCAACCCCCGCGCCTTCTGCCAAATCCTCGCCTTCTAAGCACCAGCCGCCGCCCATCCGGAACCTGCACCAGTCCAACTTCAGCTTGTCAGGTAGGAAGGATGGCACTGGTCTGGCCTACAGGATGCCTTCCTGCCAGCCCAGCAGTGGTGCTCCAGGTCCCTAAGGCTTCCATTGCACCGAAAAGCCACACGGTGGCAGGCGTGTGCACTGGGGAAGGTTTCAAACCCCAGCAGCATGGGTTATGCTGTGGTTGTGTCCTGGGAACTCCATAATGGAAAAGGTGTGGTCAAAAGCCATCTGTGTAGGGCATTGGGGCTCCCCAGGGCACCCCAATTTCCAGGGACCCTTCTCAGAAGAGCTTCTTGCTTGCACACTGGCTCCAGAGTTTATAGGTCACATGTTGTGCACAGCCCCCGCGTCTTGTCCAATGCTCGGCTCCCATGGTGGGGTGGTGTTGGTGTCTGGTAGTGGGGCAGAGGGCACACAGCTGCTCAGCTCCGTGGTGGGGGTGGTGTTGGTGTCTGGTAGTGGGGCAGAGGGCACACAGCTGCTCAGCTCCGTGGTGGGGGTGGTGTTGGTGTCTGGTAGCGGGGCCGAGGGCACACAGCTGCTCAGCTCCGTGGTGGGGGTGGTGTTGGTGTCTGGAAGCGGGGCAGAGGGCACACAGCTGCTCAGCTCCGTGGTGGGGGTGGTGTTGGTGTCTGGTAGCGGGGCCGAGGGCACACAGCTGCTCCCGAGTTCACAGGCTGGACCTGGTCTCCAGGTATGTGTGGCTCAGGCCCTCCCTGAAGCAGACAGATGCAGACAGAGCACACTCCCACCTTGGATAGGAGGGCGCCCTGTGGCCCCAGCTCTGGGGTCTTGTCCCTGGGACCCAGGGGCACGGAGGGGTGGGAGGGGACTATGGAGCAGAGTGCTGAGGCAGTGAGCGTTCCGCTAAGGGGGCAGCCTGCAGGAACGGCAGGTCAGAGCGACGTCGGCTGACCTCTGGCACGAGTGACCGACCCTCCTTCTCTTCCAGGGGCCCAGATTGATGACAACAACCCCAGGCGCACTGGCCATCGCATCGTGGCGCCCCCTGGTGGCCGCTCCAACATCACCAGCCTTGGTTGACCGCGTTGGGTCGAGTGCCCCGAGTGAAGGGTTCTGGGAGGTAGCGCCCGGCCCTTTTCCTGTCTGTGTTTGAAACCCACGGTTTTAGTTGGTGCCGAGGCAAGGGGGAGGAGGGAGCAGAGTGCAGGCCTCTCCTCTGTCCTGTAGGAAGACGTGGTGCTAGTGTGCTGTGTTGGCGTGGCGGGCCCTCGCCCCCCACGCGTGTGTCCACACAGGAGCCACCCGGAGCATGCCGTTTCCGTTGTCCCCTCCCAGTGAGCCGCAGGTCTCAGCATCGTCTCGTCCTGTCCCTCCGCCCCTCCCTCACGCCCGCGTGGCCCCGTCCCCCGTAGCCGTTCTAGGGTAGCTGATGCATGCAGCTTGTGTGTGTACAAGTCTGTGGGTATGTGTGACGGGCCGGCGGGGACACGGGTGTGCGAGCCCCTTCCCACCCACCCCCACGGAGACGCGGAGGTCCTCGAGTGGCGGGGGAACCAATGCCACCCGCGTCCAGAGTCGCTCGTCACTGGCCATGCTGTCGTCCCGGTCTCCGCGTCCTCCCAGCAGCCCGGCCAGGCGCACGCCCAGGCCGGCCACGCGGCAGCCAGGTTTTTAAAGTTTTGTACACAAGTTCTCCTTTGTATTCACCCCCATTTTTACTCCACGACGGACTGTGTGGCTCTGATTTCTGAATTCGAAGCTTGTGAGAAAATAAAGGACATAAAGTGCCCGCCAAATCGGCTGCGGAGTGTTCACTTGGGATGCGGGGTGCATGCTGGGACCCCACAGAGCCACTCCACGCTGGCAGCAACTGCTGACCCGGGACCCGCTGCTGGGACCGCACGGGGAGCTGGAGCCAGGCGGGAGGGGCGAGCTGGTTCCCGGGAGATTGGCCAGAGGCAGCACGGCCAGCAGGGGCCAGCAGGTCCTGCACGCAAGGCGTTCATCCCATGTGACTTCTCAGAGTGCTGGCTTATGAAGCAGATGGCAGGATGGACAGGTGTGTGCCTGGGAAGCCCGGGCTGGGTCCCGTGGCACCTGCGTGTGCCACCTGCTGTGTTTTGTTCCCCAGGGAGCTCAGCACGCTGCACACCGGGTCTGTGGAAGAACCTGGAACTGGGTTGGAGGAGGTGGTGGGTGGGGACACCATGCCTCAGCTGCCTGGGGAGTAGCAAGCTGGCACTTGGGGCATGGGGTACATCTCTGTGAGGGGAGAGGCACCTAAGGGCTCATCGCCATGACTTCTGCCAATGCCACCTCCACCCCCTCCAGCCCACAGTAAGACGGGGGATGGTCACCCGTGGGCCTGGGTGTCTGATAGGTCCTGGGCCTGGGGCTTGTGCCTCCTTCCCCCTGCACTCCCACACGACTCCGGGTGTGGGCTTCACCCCCGCTGCTTGGCACAGGTGCGGTGGCGGGGGTTGGGGGGTATGCAGCCGGACCAGGATCTCCTGTAGGAAGTACTACATTTGGCCACCAGAGGGAGCCGCTGGCAAACTCCGAGCGGCTTCCACCTGCTCTGATCGAAGTTTCCTGAACAAATGGTGTGGTGAAGAGGATTCTCCTCTGGCCAGGGCTGCTGTTCCCTAGTTCACTAACTTAGGTAAGCCTGTGAAGGTTCACAAGTGGCCGGAGACATGGCTCATTGAATTCACGTGCACTTTCTCTGGTCACAATGGGCAGGGCCTGGGGCAGTGTCCCAGTGTCCGCAGACACTTCTGTGGGCACTCCAAAACTGGGGGGAAGTGGATGCAAGTTAAGTTGGTGTTGATGTGAAAGGCTGGGACACATGCCTGGGCTCTGACACTGTGGTGCAGCTGGTTCGAGTTCCGCTGCTGGGCTTTGATCCAACCCCCTGCTAATGTGCTGCCGGGGTAGGCAGTAAAAGATACCCCAAGTGCCTGAACCCCGCATTTGGGGACTTGAACAAAGCTTCCGGCTCCATTCTGGCCCAGCTGTGACCCGTTGTGGCCCCTGGCGAGCGAACCAGCAGGCGGAAGATCTTCCTGTGGCACGCTGCCTTTAAATCAGTAACAATAAGCACACCTGTGCTTGCGAAGGGGTCTTCATAAAGGTGGCGAATGTGCATAGTAGGAAAAGCAAAAGCTGCGTGTGGGTGGCAAAACTGTTCTTGCCCTAAAATTAACTTCATGTTTCTGGGAATGAGCAGGCCTGGATCCTTCCCCATCCCGGCAGTGACAACAGCTGAGAGCGGGAGGGGGCTCCTGGAGTAAATGTGTTTATTCTGGAGTGAGCTGTGCCCGCCGCAGGCACCACTGGAAGCGGGCCTGGAGGCCGACTGCGTGCTGCTGGCACGCACGGCTGCTGGGCGCTGCCTGCACAGGAGCAGCTCAGCTGCCGCCTGCAGTGCCATTGGAGGGGCTTGGAGGGGTCCCCGACAAGGACTGCCCGAGGGTCTCTATGGCCGCCCTGGGTCCCTCCCTTACCACCTCTGGGCTCCCTCTTGGACTGGGTTTGGCGTAAGGAGCTCCATCTTGGCTCCGCAGCTTTCACATCTGCAGGTCTGATCTGAGACCAGCAATTCCTGCTTTTGCCACAGTGATTTTTTTCCTGTAGGTGCCCAGACCTCTCTCCTAGCAGGGGCTTGCATGGGCTGGTCCCAAGGGGCAGGTGGTCCTGAGGCCACTTCTCCTTAGGGGAGCGGCTGCTGTATGGCAGGAGAGCCCGCTCCTACCTCAGGTGGAGCTGGACAGGTGCCTGCTGAGCAGGCGGCGGATGCTGGGGGAGGTGTCCTGACCCTGTGAGGTACCCCAGCAATTCAAGATCCGCATCCAGGTTGTCAGAGCCAAGACTGCAGGGGTCACAGAATGGAAAAATGCAGAACCAGGAAGGCTGCGAATGGGAGCATTGCCAGGGTGGAGCTGGGTAATGGAAGGTCAGCCAAGGGGAAGGAGGAGACGGAGGGGCAGGGCTGGGCACCACGCAGACCCACAGGCGCCTCATTCGAAGGACTTCCTGTCGTCATCTCAGATCCTAACAGCGACACAAACCGCCCCAGCCATGCTGTGTTGCGTAGGAGGTGATGGCAGGAAGCAGAGTCTGTCCTGTGCCCCGTCAAGGCAGCCCCATCTCCCAGGAGCAGGGCTTCAGGCTGGGTCCCCGCGGCGGGAGGCGGCCCTGAGCTCCAAGCCACTGCTCTTCTTCAGCGTCTCCTTGGAGCCCTCACCCTCGGCAGCTTCGTTTTCCTGCTGACTCAGCCTCTTGCTGCACAGACACAGGGCAGGACACAGTGGGCTCAGGAGCTCAGGCCCGTGCCCCGGGCCCACGGCTGCCCCTGGGGGCCACATGACATGGATCGGCAGCCACCGGGGACCCAAGTGCTTTACAGGCTCACATGAACTGCCCCCGGTCCCCTCCAAAGTGTGGGGGCTGGGAGCAATGGGGAAGACATGCTGGCTTCCGCCAGAGAGGCATCCAGGGCTGACCCGGCTCAAACCCCACTGCGAAGCGGCCGACGGCTGGCCCTGGGGACTCCGGGCACTGTGCGAGTGCTCAGCAAGGAGCACGGGGGCTACGCGGGGCCCCTCCCTTGTACCTGAGCACTGCCGCGGGCTGCTCCACAGAGGCCTGCTCCTCACGCAGGGGTGCTCCCGGGTCCCCCCTTTCCGCGGGTGGGGGCCTCTTCCTTTTGGTCCTGAGCGGCTTTTCTGTGGATAACATGTAACGCTGGTGTGGCTCCATGGCTGCAGCCTGCGGCCCCCAAGCCCGCAGCCCCGGGGCCTCTGCAACCCGGGGGCCTCAAGCCCACCCAGGCTGGCTCCCTGCTTGGCAATATCACAGCATTCAGCACTCAGGGAAGATGTGTGCCAGGGAGACGCTGGGCCTTTGCCAAGCCCGCATGGCCACTCCCTGTGGCCTCCTCCACCCTGCAGCCCTCCAGCCCTTGGTGCAGTGACACACAGGACAGTGATGTTCCGGCTGGGGAGGAGGGCTCCTCACCCATTTCACAGACTAGAAAATAGAGCTGAGACGGGGCTGATGCTCTCGGGCCCGCGGGCATTGTTGCAGCCTCCCATGTGCTGACGAAAGCCCAGTGAGGGTAAGCAGGGTGCCTGCGGGCGACAGGGAGCCCGTGGTTCCAGGCACCATGGCGCCACGTCCTGACTCACCTGGCAGCCTGCGCTTCGTAGGGAACAGCTGGCTGTCTGCAAGCGGCACCCGGGCCAAGGCGGCCAGCTCAGACAGGAAGTTCTGCTCGGCCTCCTGGGTGCAAACAGGAGAGGCTCTGCTGGGCTACCTGCTGCCCTCCACCCCACTCTTACGAGGGACAGTTGCGGGGGGTTCCCACGTGGGGAGAACCCAGCCAGAGCGGCTGGCATGGGTGGGAGAGTCCTGGATCAATTCCTGTCAGGCCATCCCTGCAGTTCTCATCTTCTGCCAGCAGGGGGTGGACAGCACAGAACTCTGCAGTGTGGCTGGACCCCGAGTGGCCGCCCACCTGTGGTGCTCTGCACGCTGGGGAACACTGGCTTTCCCGGACTGGACGGGTTAACAGCCCCAGGGGGCTGGTGGTCATGTGGAAGCCCGCATGGCAGCCTCGGCCAGAGTGACCCAGTGGGGCAACGAGGCCATGGGGAGAGGGAGAGAGAGGGAGAGAGACAGAGGCAGGCATGGGGGCCATCGCGGGGTCGGCCTGATGCGGCTCAGCTTCTCTGACTGCTGCCCTGGGAAGTGGTACCTGCAGCTGGGTCTCGAGCTGGGCTTCCAGGTTGTCTATGGCCTGGGCTTTCTGCTGGTAGGCATCCAGGCGCACCTGCTGGTGCACGGTGAACTGGGCCAGGAAGCGTGCCTGCCGGGACAGCATCCTGGGGGGAGGGTGGAGCCGGCAGCTGAGCAAAGAACCCCACCAGAACCTTCCTAGGGGCCTGCAGGGGCCATGGCTCTGCAAACCTTGGTCGCATCCAGAGCAGCCTGGCCTTTGGGAACACCCAGTCAGACCCTGAGGCTGACAGAGGGCAGGCCCAGCTGGACCATGCAGCTGCAATAGAGCCGAGCAAAGAGGCAGCACGCCGTCTGGGCCCCTAACAGGCCTGCGATCTTCTCACTTTTAAACTCAGTCACCCTTGTGAGGTCCTGAGCTCCACATTCCCAGCCCAGCTCTGTCCCAGGTGGGATAAAAGCCAGGCCCTGTCCCCAGGCAGTCCCATCTCCTTCTCGGAGGCCCTTGCCGGCTCAGCTGACCTCCAGCCCGCAGCAAATGGCAGCATTAAAACCCGTGACCCTGCTCCTGTCACTCCCCCTGCTTCTTCCCTCGTGACGGTTTAAGACAGGTGACCTGGCAGAGCCTCCCCTAGGCACGGCCTTGCCGCCGACACCTTGACTGGGCACTGCAGAAGGCCACACGCATGGTTGCTGTTACAGACATACTCGCCTTGGCCTTACCCCCTGCTGCCTATCCTGGGCTTCCTGGGGCTGCCTCCTGGGTCAACAGCCTGTACCCCACATGCCCCCTGTGACGCCTGCTGCAGGGCCAGACCAGGGCTGGGAATGCCAATTGGCATGACTGGACGTGCCCACTGATCTGTGCCAGGTGCTGTGCACTGAGGAGGAAGTGGCACAAAGGCTCCAGGCCTCCTCGCATGGACAGGCAGGAGACGAGGCAGGCAGAGTCTACTCCTGAGGGCACAGCAGACAGAACACGTAGCACGGGGCCCCACAGGTGCAGCCGGGACTTCACCTGTCATGTACAGCCTGTGAAGCACCGAGCACTCCAGCAGCCAGCCCGTTCCCTGTCGGTGGCTCGCGGCCTTCTTCCATTTTCCGCTGTTTGTAGCTTTCCGTTCTCTCACCTGCCATGGTTGAACATGTGGCCGTCAGTCAGGTGTACGCCGGGAGGTGAGCATGGTGCACCTGCTCCTGGAGATGGTCCAAATCCCTCTCCGCGGTGCATGGAGAAGCAGAGAGGCAACCAGGCAGCTTCTACCCTCAGAGTCCCAGCCTCGTGCCAAAGGACTCAGTGGGCACGGGCAGCTTGTACCTGCCAGGGCTGTCCCCAGTCCTCCCCTGGGAGCTGGCACTACTGCTATTTCTTGGCACTGCTTCTAGTTCACTGGTGCAGCTGCCATAGAACCCTTGGGTTTGGGGAACAAAGCAGTCAGGGATGCTGGTGTGCCCAAGCTGGGCTCAGGGCAGCATCACCTTGGCCCCAGGAGAGTCCTGGCTTGGACAGTGAACCACAGGGGTCCAAATTCCTCCCTACTCAGCGGCTCTGGGCTGTTTCCACTACAGCAGCTGTGGGACATCCTAGGACCACTGGCCAGTCAGAACCTTCCAGCTCTTGAGGCTTAACTTGGGGGGTTTCTGGGGGTTAACTCTAAAGACTAAGGGAGCATGTGGACTAAGCCCCATCCTACGTGGGGCAGAGCCCACCTGAGCACCCTGTCTCCCTACTCAGAGGCCGAGTGTGGGGGAGGTACGACCCAGAATGGACTGGGGAGTGGTCCTCCTCGTGTGCGACTATGGCAGCCGGGAACACTGCCCTTCCCATCAGCCCCTTGGGCGTCATGGCCCAGAGCCCGCGGGGATCTTCCGGCTCGGCGCATCTTTGCCCTGGCCTTCCTGACTTCAGGCCACCTGGCACAATGAGGGCTCTAGCGCTCTGCCGCCAGCAGCTCAGCAACAAGCTCGTTTCATTCAGTTGGCCTGCCTGAGCGGCAGTGGCCCCACTCCTGTTCTTGTCCCGACTGATGCACTGAAAGACACCTGCTGTGCGTACAGGTATTGTGGTGACACATGTGTGCACGCACACACATGTGCGTGTATATGTGCATGCCTGCAAGTGTGCATGTAGGTGTGCACTGTGGGCATGCATGTGTATGTTGTACATGCGTGTGTGGGTGTGTACATATGCCCTGCACATGTGTTTATATAAGCATGCATGTATATTGTGTCGGTATGTGCACATGGCTGTGAACATCAGTGTATACACATGCTATGTGCTTGCATGCTTGCACTGGGTGCGTGTGTGTGTGTGTGTGTGTGTGTGTGTGTGTGTGTGTGTGTGTGTGTCTTTGGGGGTGAGGGAGGGGATAAAATCTACTAAGAAAACGCAACCGTCCTCAGTCATTTCCCACCTGCCGTACCCTGCAGGCTGCGCAGCTGTGCCAGCCTCCTCTCCCCGTGCTCCTGCAGGACACGCCCCACCTGCTGGTAATAGTCCTGCACCAGGCGGCCGACGCTGGCACCGCTCACGTACACGCTCTCCACGGCCGCCTCCAGCAGTGTCCTCTGTGGGGACCATGACAGCAGGGTGGTCAGTGGACTTGCCCCCTCCTCCCCGCCTGGCTAAGTCAGAGAGCAGACAAGGGGTAGCGGCTGGTCTATACCAGCACAACCGCTCTGCTTTCCCAGGGGACCCCAGCGGCTCCCACCCTCAGCAGCCGCTGCGGGCCCTGGACCCTTCCCCAAGCACTGAGCTCCGAGCAGCCCCTGAGGGTGTTGGGGGAATGGAAGGCAGGCTCCTGCTCCAGCAGAGGCCGAGGTGTGTCCTCACACCCCATCCCGTGCGCTGGCAGCAAGCGCCCACTGCGGGCCAAGCTTGGAGAACTTCCAGGCATGATGGAGGCCTTCCCGATGGCGCCAGGCAGACAGAGCCCTGATGCTCCCGTGACCCAAGGTGCCTGCATGTTTAGGGCCGTAAGGTGCGGGCCGTCGCTGCTGTGCTGATAAGCCCTCAGGCCACGCAAGGCCTGGCTGTGCCAAGGTCGCCACAGGCAGGGCATGGAAGGCCCAAACCTGTGCAGGCTGGTGCCTAAGTTGACAACGATTTCAGTGTGTGAACGCTGCTGCGGACGTCCACATGGCCTGGGACAGGGACAAGGACACACGCCTGCGGCCACCTCTGAAGTCTGCCAGGGACATCCTGTGCACCATCTGACACGAGTGGGGGCGTCTTACCTTTCCCTCAGGCTAGAGGGGGGCAGCCGAACAGACACAGATAATGCATGGTCCCGGCTACACAGCCAGGACCTGCCACTATAAGGAGGCTTTGGATGTGTCTCAGTCTTACCATCTGAGCAATGGGAAACAGGACAATGTTCACCATGCAAGACTTGGAGAACTCAGAACCCTGCCAAGTACCCATGTCCTGACTACCCCACGCCAGCACCGTTTCCCGCCCCTAGGTCGGCTCTGGGACATGGGGAACCTGTGCATACCTTGAAGCCATCCCTGTCCTTGGCCCGGCTCCGGGAGGCCGCATGGCGCGCCTGCCCCAGCAGCGCCTGTCCGATGGCTTGCTCCATGTGCTGCTGCAACAGCTGCCCGACATCCCGGGCCTCCGCCAGGAGCTGCTGCTGCAGCTGCAGCCGCGTCTGCTGCGTGTCCGCCTCCAGCCGGCCGGCCTCCTCCAGGACACGTGCCTCCTGGAGGACAAGCACTGTGAATCTGCAGCCTGCCCTGGGATGCGGGCGACAGGGGCGGGAGGTGGCAGCTTCTGGGCTGGCCAAGTCCCAGGCCGGAGAGGCTTCTGTGCATGCTCCTTAGCCCCTTCCAGAGGCAGTCATTAGACACCAACTGTATGCCCACCCTCTATGGGCACTCACGCAAAGGGACCTTGCTGGCTTTTCTAGAACACCAGGGCTCTTCTAGAACATGCAAGAACTTCTGGGAAGTGAGCAGCCACGCCAGGCTGGGAAGGAGATCTGCGTGCATGAGTCGTGTGCAGATGGCCCAGCAGGTGCACAGGACACTGGGGGGACTGCCAGTCCTCACAGGAAGTGAGGGGACTCAGAGCCAGGGTCATGTCCTGTCCAGTTCCCCAAGCTCCCCTGGCAGAGCTAAGGGACAGCGACTCACCTGTGTGTGGACATCCAGCAGCCGCTCCCAGGGCTCAGGGCGCCATGAGTGACCCTGGATCCGGTATGCCTGGGCCTCAACCTTGGCACTGGGACTTACCAATCCTTTCCTTTGCTCTCCTGAAACCTCTGAAGCGATGGCAGAGGCCCTTTCCTTCCCCAGCCAATGACTGTAACCCCCACCCCGACTCCCTTGTATAATTCTCATTGTCACCCACGCTCCAACTTTTGGTATGTGGGTGACCCTGCGGGGCTGCCCATGTTCTCCCCCAGTAGATAGATGCTAAACTAACTCAACCAAACCCCAACCCCAGTCTCTAAACCAACCTCATACCCTAAGTCTAAACCTTAACACTAACCCCTAAACCATCACCCCCTGGCTCAAGCACCTGAGCCCCTGCCAGCCCCCCACATCGGGGACCTAGATAGAATTCTGGGGCTCCTGGCTTCGGCCTGGCTCAGCTGTGGCTGTTGCAGGTATTTGGGGAGTGAATCTGGGAGTGGCAGATCTCACTACCTCTCAAATAAATAAAATTTTTTAAAAAAGCAATAAGCTCAGGCCCCAGGCGCAGGGAAGGGAGATGGTACAAGGACATGGGGAGAAGACAGAGGGACCCTAGATGGAGCCAGCCCTGCCCCGCCCCCAACACCTTGACCGGGATGCTAAGAAGTGTGGCGTGCTGGGTCGTCTTACCAGGGCTCGGAGTAGCTGCCACTGGTGCTCGTCCAGGCACTGGGAAGGGCCCTGCTCCAGCACGTGCTGCTCCCGCAGCTCCTGCAGGAGCGTTTTCTTCCCGCACAGCCTCATCTGTGTGAGTGTGGCAATGGCGCTGCTGCGGAGGGCCAGCCGCCGGAGTGCTGAGCGCAGCAGCAGGTCCTGCACCTGCAAGATGCCCCGCGTGGACCTTGGGGAGAGCAGAATGGGTGCTGGGGTCAGAGTACTGCCCAGAAACCCCCAGGCAGGCCTGCACTCTGCTGCCTGCCTTTCCCCGACCTACTCCCCCGAGCTACCCTCGGCTCCTGTTCCCCTCTCTCATTTCCGTAGTCGCAGTCTAGCCAGGGTCCAGACACATGCGTACACTGCGGTGCACATCTCAAACCGAACTCCTCTCCAGCTGGGCTACAGCTGAGTCCCCATCTCAGCAATCTGAGTCCAAATCCGGGGCCAGGGTGGGGGAAGAGAGAGAGACAGAGACTTTCCTTCTGCTGATTCACTCTCCAAATGTCCACAGGGTCCAGAACTGGGCCAGCTCAAAGCCAGAAACCTCATCTGGGTCTCCCACATGGGTGCAGGGGCCTGGACACTTGGGCCCTGCTCTATTGCTTTTTCAGCAAGCTGGGTCACAAGTAGAGTGGCTAGCGCCCAACAGGATGCCAGGCTCGCAGGCGGCTTAACCCACTGTGTCACAGTGCTGACCTGGCCCAGGTATTGTGTGGACGCAGAAGCGGTCTCAGGCAGCAGGCAGTGCAGGGAGCTGTGTACACCACTTTCCAACAAAACCCTGCATGATGGTCCCTGGCAGATCCAAAATCAAGACATCTGCAGGCCAAGAGGAGCCAGATGGGAGATTGAAGAAAAGAAAAAAGGAAGAATAAAGAAAAGCAGAAGGGGTAACTGAGACCTCAGTGGACCTCGGCTGCAGTTGAAAATACTGAGTGTGACAAAAGTCACAAGAGCACACCTGTGTGAGGGGTTATATAAGGTGTTTCGCCACCGAGAAGCGATACACAAATTGTCCATTGCGCACTGATACGCCTGGGGTGAACTGATGATGAGGCAGGCAACGTTAGCCCACCCGACAGATGAGAAAATGGAGGCTAAGGAAATGAATTTGTACCTGGTCGGGTGAATTCTAATTCCAGGTTTGATCCAGAGCACTCTGCTTTCACCCCATTTCAGGGTTCTGTTTATAATTCGGCAGACCTTCCATGGCTCCGTAAGAAAGTATAAGGCAGGTGGGGGGGTCAGTTGTGTGCCCCCCCTTGCATGTAAGAACATCAAGACTGGCTGGCTCAGTGAACTGCATCAACGTGGCATCCCTACAGGTTCCACCCAAGACAGGTCCAGGAAGCCCTCAGACCTGACGGCCAGCAGATCAAGAACTCTAGTAGTGACACATCAGGCACCATTTTGTGCAGTGTGGCAAAAGCTTTAGGACTTCAGGGACAACAGTGTGCTGTGTATGTCTGAGCTGGGAGCAGTCACTGAGCTCAGTGTATTGCACTGGTTCTGCAGGGAAAATAATAATGACTATGGCATTGTACGAGTCAAAATAGGTCCATGTGACCCTCAGACCTGACGGCCAACAGGTTCCAGCAAGGTCAGCACCACCAACAACCTAGCTATATAGGACACCTCGTGTCTCGCTAATCCTGGGAACTGCTCCAACCGGAAGTGGGAGAAAGCTTGTACAGACAACGGTGCAGCCTCAGCATAGAATCACAGGAGATGGAGACTGGTGAGCCAGGAGCCGGGGCTGCAGAGACCATGGTGGAAATCTAACATAAGAACCCAGACCTGGAACTAGCTGGAGTTAGCGGCACAAGTGACTGCAAACAAACAGCCATGTGCCAATCACAATAAGTAAAATCAAACTGCAGACCTGTGGGTGACACAGCTTAGAAACCTGCCCCAAGGAGAAGACCCTGCTAACCAGAAGTACAATCACCAAGAACAAAAGAAGAGACAGAGGAACAATGAATATTACTGAGGACTCCTCTACAAAGGAGCAAAAGCTTTTGCCAAACTTAGAGTTAACTGAGGAAGACAATGGGAAAATGGGGGCTACAGAATTCAAAACACTTGCTGTAAAACTTAACAAGAAGCACATAATACAGGAGTTCAAAGAATTTAAGGAATATATCACACAGAAAATCAATAAAATGAAAGCTGACATATCAGAAATTAAGAATACAGTGGAGAGTGTCCAAAATAGAATGAATGAAGCAGAAGAAAGAATCTCAGAATTGGAAGATGTTGCCTATTACTAAACCTGGAAGCAGAGCTGGGTCAAACTAAAAAAAGTATTTAAGAATTGAAAGACACTATTAAAAGGCCAAATATAAAAGTTATGGGAGTCCCAGTAGGTGCAGAAAGAGAAGCTGAGTTTACAAATGTATTTAATGAAATAATAAGGGAAAATTTCCCTAATCTAGAGGAAGAATTGGGAGACAACATCTAGGAGGGGCACAGAACTCCCAACAGGCTTGATCAAAAGCGATCTTCATCAAGACACATGATAATCAAGCTTTCTTCAGGCCCGGCGCGGTGGCGCAAGTGGTTAAAGGACCTCGCCTTGCACGCCCAGGATCCCATATGGGCGCCGGTTCTAATCCCGGCAGCCCCGCTTCCCTTCCAGCTCCCTGCCTGTGGCCTGGGAAAGCAGTCGAGGACGGCCCAAAGCTTTGGGAACCTGCACCCGCGTGGGAGACCCGGAAGAGGCTCCTGGCTTTGGATCGGCATAGTATCGGCCCGTTGCGCTCACTTGGGGAGTGAATCATCGGACGGAAGATCTTCCTCTCTGTCTCTCCTCTCTGTATATCCGCCTTTCCAATGAAAAAATAATAAAAATAAATCTTTAAAAAAAATAATCAATCTTTCTTCAATCAAACATAAGGAAAATATCCTCACATGTGCATGTGAAAAAAAAAATCAATTGACATATAAAGGAATGCCAATTAAACTCACAGGAGACCTCTCACAGGAAACTCTACAGGCCATGAGAGAATGGAGTGACATATTCCAGATTCTAAAAGCAAAAAATTGTTGGCCCAGGATAACATATCCAGCAAAGCTCTATTTTGTCTTTGAAAATGAAATAAAATTCTTCCACAGAAAAGAAAAGTTAAAAGAATATGCCTCCTCCAAACCTGCCCTACAAAGGATACTTCAAGATGTTTTCTTGACAGAGAAGAGGAATAGCACCTACCAAAACCAAAGGCAAACGGGAAGAACATCCTAGTAAAATGACAACAGAAGACTAAATCAATGAACAACCCATTCTTAATATGACAGGACCAAAATACCACCCATACATATTAACCCTGAACGTAAATGGATTAAACTCATCAATCAAACATCATGGATTAGCAAACTAGATTAAAAAACAAAACAAAACAAAACAAAACCCATCTGCTTATTGCCTATGGGAGACATATCTCACCAACAAAGATCAATGGAAACTATATCTCATGGATTTTTCTGTTTCATCTCTTCAAAACACTTTCCTTTTTTATTAACTTCTTCACTAGCTCATAGATCGTATAGTAGCATCATTTTCTTCAAGAAGGTTCTTGATTTTCTTTTTTTTTTTTGTACGAGTCAATATACTCATTTGGTCATGTGTGAGATACCAATGTGTTGGTATCACATTGGTCATTTGGTATCATGTTATTTAATTTCATGGTGTTTTTAATTTCTTTTTTCTCCTTGTTGCTGATTTTGTTTTGTGGCTTTTCATTTAAGGGGATGTATAATAACTGTGTAATGGAGACTATCATATCCAGATGTGTAGGGTGCCATGCAGATGGACTCCCAGTGAAACTGTTTACTATATCTTGACAATAGGATGTTGGACTCTGTCATTGTCCATGCCCGCAATGATGGGCAAATGACTGTTTATGAAGAACTAACTGTACTATAGAAATAACACAGGGAAACTCAATGAGGAGGTTTGGACTTTGGGAGGGGGTAAGGGAAATCTCAGGGCCTATGGAACTGTATCATAAAATGATCATAATAATAAAGAAGTAAACATTTTAAAAAGAAACTTAAAAGAAGTAAACAAATAAATATTAAAAAAAAAAAAAAGAACATTGAGGCTGGGAACACCCAGGATGCCACGCTCAGATCCCTTGGGGAGGACGCACTACTCACTCGTCGGTGAGGCCACCGAGTCGGCTCAACACTGCGCGGATGGTCCTCTCGTGGCCTTCCCGCAGCTGCACCTGCAGCACCGCGGACAGCGCCCACTCCTCCATCCACACCTGGATCCAGGAGAGAGAGACAGGTGAGCAGGCGGGAGACCCAGCCAGAGTCCTGTCGTCAACCTTGGTCTACTGGACTGCACGCTCTGTTGGCGCTTGTCTAGTCTCCTGCGAGATCATTAACATCTATGTTTCCTTCTCCAAGTTCCCCCACCTGCAGGTGCATCTTAAAGCATCTGTAACCTGTTACCTGGGGATTGAGGACGAGGCCTACTTTCCTTTGGGTAAACAGGCATTTCCTGTCCCAGCCTTGTTTACACAGTGATTGATCTTTTCCTGACTTGGCTTTGGTGCCATCCTGTTTAGTACACACTGTCGGTTTTGGTTTTCATCTGCCTGTATCTCACCCCCCTGCTTTAACTACGGTCGCTTGTAGTGACGACACTTCCCCAAGGGTTAGCCATCCCTCCCTCTCCTACACAAAGCCATCCTGGCTCTTCTGCGTGAAACTTAGGTTTCCTTGAGAGGCAAAGTGAATTTTCTGGCATTTGAAAGGAATCAACAGCTTTGCAAATGACGTTTTCTCACTGACTGCTTGGTATTTCTCTCATTTTCTTTATGCCTTCAATGATGCGTTATAAACTTTCCCAATGGGGTTTCTTCTTAAAAATGCATTTATTGATTTGAAAGGCAGAGATACAGAGAGAGACAGAGAATCTTCCATTTGCTGGTTCGCTCCCCAGATGGCTGCAATGGCTGTAGCTGGGCTGATTCAAAGCTAGGAGCTTCATCTGGGTCTCCCACATTGGTGCAGGGGCCCAAACACTTAACATTATCCCATTGCTTAACGTTAACAGAGAGATGGATCAGAAGTGGAGCGGCCAGGACTCAAACCAGTGACCAGACAGGTATGTGGCGCCTTGGTGCTTTTCCTGCTAGGCCACTGTTGCAGCCCATCCTCTGAGCCTTTAAACTCATGGGTCAAGTTTATTTCCTGGTGCCTCTTGCTCTCTTTAGGGCGTTGCCAGCTGCTGCAGGTGCAGAGGAAAGCCATGGGGCCAGGATTCGGATTTTGTTTGACAAATGTGCTGAGCAGCTCTGGTGGCTGTGATGGCTGTGGATTGCTGTGGCTTCTTCAAGGGGACACGTGTGTGGGAGCACAGCTCTTTCTCTGACTTGCTCAGGTCTTCCTGGTGCAGCCAGACTCACCGATTGCGTGGCCTCTCATTTCCTGTGTGAGGGAGAGTCCGTGGGCCCCTGCAATCTGAATTTACTCCCTCTGTTCAGCTCTGCATTTTCGGGTTTCATCTTTGTACCTTCTCGATGGACCATGATCTCCACAGGCCATGATGGCCCTAAAGGCGGCCTCCTGCCTGACCTGTGGTTGGTCTGACCTACATATGGACCCACACTGACAGCTTGGGCCACAGTGGGCAGACCCTGCCTGGTGGGGTATATGCACATGGGCTCTGTGACCCTGGCATGACGAACCCACCTTGTAAGCCCATTTCTCAGCATCATGCATCTGTCACTCAGCAAAAGCTTACGCAGCCCTGCGACTGCCTGCCATGTTGCGCCCTTCTCCTTGGTGCCGAGGCCTCATGGCCGCGTTATTGGGGCAGCACCTGCTTGTATGATTTCGGCAGGATTCACTGTGGTCATGGTCACCATCTAGGCAGGAGGTGCCCAAGAGCGCAGGTCCAGTTCTTGATTTGCAGGGTCTCGGTTGGCCCAGTGCAGCTGTCATCACTCAGTGGATTCTACGTGTACCCCACCTTCAGAACAGAGGGATGGTGCGGTTGCAGGTTCTCCCCACTTTGGGTCGGATCTGTTGTCTTGGTTCTGTCCTGCCCCATTTAACTCCCTTGGCACAATATAATTTCTCATTTCCTTTTGCTCTTGGTCTTCCTTCATTGTTTTGAATGCCACACCTTGGCCGTCCCTCTGCCCAGTGGTTTTCCATTGTGAGCACGCCTTCCTGGCCCAGCAACACGCACGCTGACGGTCTTCCCAACCTCAGGACGCCTGGCTGCTGCTGGCTGAGTTTCTTTTCCCCCAACACTTGGAACGGCTGTGCTCCTCCAGGGTCGCCAGGCTCTGCTCCTGGCATCCAGCAGGACTTAGGGGTGGCGCAAGGAAGACTGTGAGGAGGGATGCCTCAGCCTCTTCCACATCCTCCCCACCCCTGGTTAGCTCCTGGGCTGCCCCCCGCCACTCTCCTGCATGCTTCTAGAACCATGTATGGGCATTCCTCAGTTCCCATGGGTCAGGTGGAGTGCCAAGCCCAGCACGCTCTGAGAGGCCCTTTGCGACCAGTGTCAGAGGCCCGGGACATTGACCTGGGGAGCCAACCAGACACGGACACCGGCTTCCTCCACTGTCCCTCCCTCCCCGGGGGCTGCAAGTTCCTTGGCCTGGGACCCAGGATTTAGGAGGAATCAGATAAACTGGGTTCTATTTAGATTCCTGGGGAAGATACCAGGCCACACATGGTAACTGCCCAAGCTGCATCGCTGTTGCCAAAAAGGGAGCAACGTTTGGGGCCAGTGAAATGGCTCAACAGGCTAATCCTCCACCTCCAAGCTCCAGCATCCAATATAGGCACTGGATTGTCCTGGCTGCTCCACTTCCCATCCAGCTCCCTGCTTGTGGCCTGGAAAAACAGCAGAGGATAGCCCAAGTGCCTGGGACCCTGCACCTGTGTGGGAGACCTGGAAGCAGCTCTGGCTGCTGGCTTCGGATTGGCTCAGCTTTGGCCGTTAGTCGTTTTGGAGAGTAAACCAGAGGATGGAAGAGTGCTTTCCATTTCTCCTTTCTCTGTAAATGTTCCCTTCAAAAAATAGTGTTAAAAAAAAGGAACTGGCCTTGGTACCAGGAACCAGCGGCCGTCTGCAGGGACCAGCAGCCAGCACTGCCAGAGCTATCTCCCGGCCCCTGCCTGCCCCAGGGGACATGGAGGTCCTGCCCATGAGCAGTTTTGTGGACTCTGGGGTGCAGGAGGCCATGAGCAAGACATATGCTTGAGTGCTGCTGCAGAGTCCCCCTTGGACTGTATTGCTTTGATTGTCTCAAAAGTGGCCATGGCTACATGCTGTATTCACACTGCTGTGCCAAGTCCTGATGGCCTCTCGCAGTGCCTGAGGCCTGAAGTTGGCTTCCATCAGGGCAGGCCGGGCTGCAGCTTTGGCGGAGGGATCTGCTCCCTGTGTCTTCCAGCTCCTGGGCGCCCCCCATCCTGGCCCGGGGGCTGCACACACTGCCCCTGTTGCCCTCATTTCCTCTCCTTGGGACTCTGGCCTTCCCACCTCCCAGAAGGGCCCGCGATGACCTCGGGCTCAACTGCATGACCCGGGCAGCTCATCCTGCCCACCCTCCTTCCCTTACTTCCACGACCAAGTCCCTGCTGCCACATGCCCAGGCTCTGGGGGCAGGGGGTGGACACCCCTGTGGACTGTTACTCTGTGGTGACACTGCCAGGTTCTTACCCCCCAGACCCAATCTCCATGACACACGGAGTGTATACGGCCTCTCCCTGCCACTGACCCACCGCCCCTTTCTCTTTTCTGTCTACTTACTTCCCCCATTCCCTCGGTGGTCTCCAACATGCATCTCCTCCCCCCACCTCCAGGCCCCAGCACCTGCTCCTCTTGCTCCAGCAGCTCCTGGAAGAGGCGCCACTGCTGCTTCCGGAAGCGGTCCGACTGCCCCAGCTGCCGCACCATGTTGGCCTGCACCTCCTGTCGCAAGGATTCGCACTCGGCACCTGGCAGCCCCGCCTGGTGTGGGAGTGTCTGCAGGAACAGCGTGTCCACCAGCCGCTGGAAGGCATGCACGGTGTTGCCGAACAGCTCCTGTAGCCAGAGCCATATGGGTCAGGGGCTGCCGCCTGTCTGGGCCTCCTGCACGCCTTTGCACGCTTCCCGCAAGGCGCTGAAGGTGCAGAGATGGAACTCCTATGTCACACACAAGTGTGTACACACACACCCTGAGACACTCATGCACAGAATGTTTGTTCATGCACACACCCCCAATGACACCCATATGTGCAAAGACATGTATCAGAAACAGTTACACTCACACACAACCTGGTGCACATAGAAACAGTCACACTTACACAAGCATACAGACACATACCTGCACACACAATTACACAGGTAAGCACGTGTACACACAGGTACACATCTATATGCACACACCTGCACACATAGTTTGGGGATGTACCAGCTGCCTTGGAGCCCTCTCAGATCCCACAGCCCGGATCAAATCCCCGAGCTACCCGCTGACCTGGTGCCCTTCACTTCGGGCACCTGCCCTGGCTCCCTGGGTGGACCTGGGAGGATTCTCATCCTCCCCTGCCACCTGCACACTTAGGCAAGTTCTCTGCCAAGAAAAACACCATGCACATGGCAGAGGTACATGCTATTCCACTCTGCCCCTGCCACCTGCTGATGCAGAACACCCCAAAGTCCACCTGCTGAAGCGAGTGAACAGGGAGGCCGCGGGTCACCACGCCACCTCACTGCCTGCTGCCACCTCCACTGCCCCACCCGTGAGGCAGTTCTGAGTGGGTGAGGAGGTGGGTGGATGGATGGATGGAGCCCCACCCCACCCCATGTCTTGTGGTCCCGAGGCCCATGTGCCCGTCCTAGCCGAGACCACGCACCTGGCAGAGTGTGACCATGGCCTCAGCGGCTCTGATGTCCTCCTGCTCCTCCAGGTCACTCCGCGTCAGCCTCTGCCTCTCCAGGACCCCGTGGAAGGCCTGTGAGGAAGGCAGCTGATAAAAGAACAGAAAACACCAGCCAACCCCAATCTGCTCAAACCTGTCCTAGAGCTGGGAAACCAAGGCATGGGGCTGACAGCCAGCCAGGCCCTGCCCTGCCCTGCCCTGCACAAGAGCCTGGGCCTCAGCCTGAGGAAGCCCAGACAGTGAGGCCATGAGCTGTGCCCAGCACCAACAAGGGCCCAGAGAAGCAGGCTGGCACTGCCACTCCTGCCTCCCAGGCCTCCCCACTGCTGTGGACATGGTCACTCGCATTTTGTAGGAGGAAGGCCGAGTGCTCGCGCAATCAGCAGATGGCTGCTGGCCCCGGTGCTGTGAGCAGAGCCGCTAAGCATGATGGCCATGGACAAGTGGCCCCTTTCCTCATCCAGGGAAACACACAGAGCTAAACGGAGTCCTGTTTGTCTCCCTGAGCTTTGGCCGGTCCCTGTGGCTTTGGCAGATTTCTCCCCCATTCTACTTGCTGTCTCCCTGCAGGTGTCTGTCCCTTTCCAGGCCAGACCGAGGGAACATGCTAACCTGGCCACCCCCTCCCTCGGGTCCTGCTGCAGGGACAACTGCTTGCCCTGCCTTCAATGTGGGGCACACTTGTGCCATGTGCACCAGTGCTTGGCCACGCCCTTTCACTGATGCTCCCCCTTCCAGAAGATGTGCAGGAGCCGCGTGGCCAGGGCCACGGTGGCCGAGGGACGGGGCTCCAGGCACTGGGGTGACATGGAGGAGGCCAGGAGCTGGCCTTGTACCTGACAGGTCCTGCACAGGGTAACGGGCACCGAGCACCCAGTTGGCTCAGGCTGTGTGTGCCCCAGGCAGCACCAAGCTGTGGCAGTCACCTGGAGGAACTCCTTGGGGCTGGCCATCAGCTGGGCATCGGCCAGGAAGCTTCTCCGCTCCTCTTCCTGGGCTAGTGTGAGCTGTGTCATCCTCTCTGTGTGGTGAGCCAGGGACACTTTGGCCAGCTCTTGGCCCTGCTGGACAAACTCTGTGAAGGAAATCAGTTGTAATTGACAGGTGACAATGGGGCCTGCCAGGGGCTACCCGCTCTCCAGGCTGTACCCTGACCAACCCACGCACCCTGCAGCTGCACAGGGTCCTATGACCCTGGCCAGGACCACGGGGTACAGCTGAGTGACAGGGCTGGCCTCTGAGCATCTCTGAGGTCATTCCACCCCCCCAGCCACCTAGACACCCCTTCTCCACATTCCCAGTGGTTCTGATGAGAGATGCTGCCAAGTCATGGAGGCCTGCAGGGAGGAGGCATCTTTGGGCTCAGAACCCTCATCAGCTCTGCTTGTAAAGTGAATGCCCAGGCCCAGGGCCGGGACCGGGAGGCTGCCCGTCTCCTCCTCCCAACCCTGATGGGGGCATTTCCAGCCTGGGCCCCAGCTCACGCCTGCTGAAGCGCTCCGCCTCCTCCCAAAAGGCTTTATGTTGCTGGGTCAGGAGTTCCTCCCTGTGGCGCGCCGACAGCTTCCCCTCGGCACTCAGCAGCTCCAGGCCGTGGGAGATGGCGGCCAGGCGGCAGCGGGTCTCCTCCTGCACCTGCAGCCGCAGGGACTCCACGGCCTTGGCCAGGTGCACCCGTGCCATGGTCCTCTCCAGGGCATCCTGAGAGGAAAACACAGGGGCAGACGGACAGCGGCTGTGGCACTGGCTTCTGCACGAGGGCAGAGCTTGACAGCTCACTTCTGAGGCTGAGCACGCAGGAGAGCTTCCTGGAGAAGACGTTACTGGGCAGACCCTCTTCCCTGCCTGCCGGCGTGGCCATGCCCAGGCTGTGACCCCAGCATAGACCCTGGGTGGGAGTGTGCGCCAGGAACAGGTGCTACACACTGCACAGCAAGAACCACAGGATGAATAGGGCTGGTGCCTCCCCCAGCGCGAAGCTGACTTCCCCTCAAGCCCCCAGCTGCCTCAGCTTGGCTCATGCCCTAAGTCTGACTGTGGAGTCTGCCTGGATCAACCACCCAGCCTGGTCAGGGCTTGCTCAAGATTACAGGGTCTTCAGTCCTCCCCTGCTTGTCCCTGTCCTTGGCGCCCCCTCCTCCAAGCCTCACTGCCCCCAGGCTTCTGTCTCTGAGCCCCAGGCTGAGCCGCCATATGGTCCCATTTTCTGTGCTCTTCTGGGTTCTGACAGTTGTGAGCAGGGAGAGAAAGAGGGATATCTTCCACGAACCCAGGTTCCAATCTGGACCCCGGCCCCACGCCCTGGTGTTTCCTCCAACAAGCTGACAGCCGCCCTCAGCCTGGGACCAGTAGAGGGCGCAAGAGGACAAGCAGAGGTGCCAGGTGCCCGTGGATGGAGGGTGACGGCCAAGATGGGACCTGGGCTGTGGTCACCCCTGAGGTGAGGGTGTTTGGACTCCCTCATGGAGCCCCACACTCCATGGCAACAGAGCCAATGGCAGGTTCAGGTTCAAGGAAGGGTGGGGTGGACGGAGGGACATGGGCAGAGGGACAAGACTTGTAGGGGTGGTGGGCTGCTTGCTGAGAGGAGCAGAGCCCCTCAGAGTTGAAGTGCAAACATGGCTCTACAGTGGGTGCTGCACGACCCTGGGGGTCCCCTTGCCCCATCCCTGCCATGCACTTGACCCTGCACGTCAGGGCGGAATAGGCAAAGCTGCAGAGTAACAACGGCCAGGGCAGCCCGGGTTCCACTGGCCTCTGCTGTTTCTTCCATGATGCAGGCCAGCCCCACCTGTCTCAGAGCACCTGTTCCTGGAATCTCTGGGTTCCCAGTCTTGATATTCTGGGGTGCCTTGTGGCACTCACCAGGCCCGGTTGTTCCTGGAGCTGACCGGCAGCTGGCTGAGACATGGGTGCTGAGCACATCCTCCCGGCCCTTGTCACCCAGCAGAGCAGTGACAACTGCTCACAACTGCTGCACCTGCTGGCGTGGAGCCCACGGCATGCTGGGGGAGAGCTCAACCGGAACGCTCCCTGTGAGCTTGTGTCTGTCCTGAAGTCCTGGCATACAGCCGGCTCCCCAGTACCCTCATACCCTGTGGCACTACAGGCATTACCGTGTTTCCCAGATGGACAGATGGGCAGTGGGTGGGGGAAGGGCAGGGGCATGGATGGGAGAGCAGTGGAATGGGAGAAGGGTGGGTGGATAAAAAGGTGGGTGGTGGATGGATGGATGGGTGGATGGGTGGATGGGTGGGTGGGTGGATGGGTGGACGGATGGGTGGGTGGGTGGTGGGCCCATGATAGGTGTATGGGTAGATGGTTAGATGAATGGATGGATGGGTGGGTGGGTGGGTGGGTGGGTGGTGGGCCCATGATAGGTGTATGGGTAGATGGTTAGATGAATGGATGGATGGGTGGGTGGGTGGTGGGCCCATGATAGGTGTATGGGTAGATGGTTAGATGAATGGATGGGTGGATAGGTAGGGAAAGGTTGAGTAGGTGGATGGGGTAGGTGGGTGATTGGGAGGATGTGTGGATGGGTGGATGGATAATGGATTTGCTGCCTTTTTCAGGGTCTCTAACTCCCAGCTAGACTTTAGTCCCAGGAGACTCTAAGGTGCCCCAGGCCCCAGCTCCCACCTGTCTAGTGTGAGCCGTGTCACGCTCCCTTCCCCCACCCCCACATTACCAAGGCCTGCATGTCCTGAGCCTCGTGCAGCAGGCCTTGGGCCACAGTCATTCTCTCGGTCAGCGCAGTCACGAGCTGGCGGGCCCTGGAGCTGGAGCACTTCAATTGGTCCACAAGAAAATGCTGGATGTTTTCCATCTGTTTCCAGAAAGTTTCCATCTGTGAAAGCAAGGGGGAGGGCGAGAACTGTCGCTTCAGGAAGCCGCACAGTGTGTGCCTGGGAATTGTCCTTCACTCCTGAGGGTCGACGGAGCTTCTCAACCGTTCCACAGTCTACGTGACTTCATCTCGGCCACTGTCACAAGCTGGGGAGCACCCCCTCCTCAGGCCATTGTGGACGCCAGTCAGCACCCGGGAGACTTCACAGCAAGGAAGGAGCCCCCAGCTTCCGCGCTGACAAACTCTTAAATAGGATGTAACTGCTCCCCAGGTGCTCATGGGCTGTGACCAGAACCTCCTGCAAGCTCCCACATCTCTATAAGCGATTAGCCACATCCTGGACAAAAAAGCACAAATGGCCTCAGAGAGGAGGCCGCCCATGCCAACACTCACTGCAGTCTCAGTCCATCCGGGCATCAGTAACAGAGCCAGAGCCCCACGAGGCTCAGGTATCTGGGGCATTCCCCGGAGAGCCGTGACAAGGACACCAGAGGATGTAGTAAATACAGGCCATGTCCTTCACACACCCGAGTGCAAGACCAGGTGTGCCTGCGTTTCAGCTCGGCTCCCTTACTCGCTGTGGCTGGGTCTTTTCAGATGCTGAAAGCAAGCCTTGGTGCTGTGCGGGGCATGGGGAGGGGCAAGGCCCACGCCGACCACACTGTTGTGGCCATGGGTCATGATGCTGGGGGCTCTTATCCTTGGCCAACTCCGCAAGAAAGCTATGCCATACAGACAGGTGCCTCTGGCAGCTTGGCCTCCTGTCCTGGCCAGGGATCTCGAGGCAGCTCAAGGAGTCTGGCCTTGTCACTGCTTAGCTCCTCATCGCATGCCACTGCTGTCTTCCTGGCACCCTCCAGCTGCCCTGAACCTCTGCCAGTAGGTAACCTACTTCCAGCTTCCCCAAGAGGTGGCGGATGGCCAGCCTTGGACCCTGCACACCCCAATACCCGACTCTGGGCCCAGTCAGCTCTGCCCTCCCAGGCCCAGGGAGCCAGGCTACTCCCTTGTACTTCTTCAAGACTCTCAGTGGATTACGTGCCTGGCACCACAATTCCCCTCTGGCTCCTGGGCGACCCACCCACCTCCTCTCCCGCTGTCTCATCCTGATCTAATAACCTGCCCTGAAGCACGGGTGGCAGGACCCAGGCCTCAGTGACACCCCTTTCTCACCCACTCTCCCTCCATAAGAGCCTAGGCCACCATGGGGGTGCCAGCAGGCGAGGTCACCAATACGTGGCAGAACATTGGGATAGCTACAAACCCTTTCCCTGAGAAAAAGCAGAGGCAGACAAGGTGGTCCACGCAGCTGTGGAAAATCAAGGGACCCTGGAATGCAGGCTCTGCCCCAGGCCACCTCATTGTGACTCACAATTCTAGAAGCATCTACGTTCTCCACATTCTGACTTGAACACTAGTGGAGACCTTTGTCACATGCATCTGGATCTTAGCATATGCAGTAGACTCACTTCTTCTACCCAACTTGCCTTTGGCTGGGGTTCTTATCTCAGCAGGCAGACCCCTTGCCTTGTGCCACCCTCCCAGCTCTCACCCTTGGCCCCACTGCAGCTGCCTTAATGACACTCCTGCTGGCTCAGCCTGAGGGTATGCCCCAATCCTACACAGGGAAGCCATGTGGTCCTTCTGCCAAGCCTCCTCTCCTTCCTGCTCCAGGTCTTGGGCTGACTAGTCCTTGGACAGATCTCCATGGGTTCCCTCATTCTCCCTGCCCTGTAGCCTTCCCTGGCTCCCATCTCTGCCTCCCCCTGGTCCATGCCCATCTTCGTCCGCCTAGCCCCATGGTGGTCTCTTCCTCTGTTATGGAGACTTCCCTAGCCATGGCCTTGTCCTGCCCTGTGTGTCCTTCCTATTCCCACACCCGTAAACCTCTCTCAAGGGTGGCTGGCTCTAAAGGGCCGTTTGAATCTCCAAGGTCTAGCATGATGCCTGGCAAAGAATAAATGATGAGGTTTGCGTGTTTGTGTATGTGTGTGTGCATGTGTGTGATGTGGGAAAACGCACAGAAGGCAAGAGCTATTTCTGAGAAGCCAGCACCTCTGGACTCCAAACCAGGCTTTTCTAGAGTGAGGCTTGGGGTTTGAGAAGCCAGCAGCAGCTGCTCTGTCCCATGGGCCAGCAGTGTCACCGAGGGCGACAGGGGGGACAGGGAACTGTGTCTTGAACAATAACAACATCAGTCTCGAATTAAAGGAGGGCGATTCATTGATTGCCTTTCTCTGGCGCTCAAGGTCAGGGGGCACTCCCTGGCCATGGCAGTCAGCTCTCGGACCATGAGAGGGGCCGCCCCACAGCAAGGGGGCCACACAGCCCACGTGTTCCATGGGATTGGCTTTCCAACCTGCGGGAGAGCCATCCCTGCTTCCCCCCATCCCACCAGCGACCCCAGTGCCCATGCAGCCCCCATTCTGCTGGGAGTCAGCTCTCCGACCACATGAGGGTTCCCCCCAGGGCCCCCACAGCTCACGCACGTGGCCCACCAGCTGCTCTGAGAATTCACGCTCCTTCCTCTCCACCTCTACCAGGGCGATGTATTCGGAGTCGCCAGTGCCCAGTAGATCTGCGTTGGACAGTTTGGCCTTTAGCTCCTTTTCTAAGTCCTCCAAATCCTGGTGGGAGAAAAAAACGCAAGGTAGCAACTAACAAATCCTCCAAGTCTTAGTTTTCAGAAAAATCGGTGCTTATACAGCAACACAGCCTCATGAAACACCAACACAGCCTCGTGGAACACAGCAACACAAGCGAGTGTTCCGCATGTTTGCCCTGCTTAAGGTTTCATGACTGGAATCTACTATCCTCCACACACAGCTTTAAGAATAATGGATGCTTTTCTTCTATACCCACCCCTAACGGGAGACTGCAACTTAGCAACAGAACAGTGTCTTCTAATGCTTATGAGGTCATAGGTGATGTCATGATGTCTGGGGGGTGGGGAGGAACGTTTCTGCTCTGCCTTCTGGTTTCCATGGGAAAGGAGTATCGACCACAATCCAGGGGCGGGAGTGACAGGTGCGGCATTGTGGGTTCAAGAGCAGGAAGAGAACGCAGCTGCTTCCTCTTTGGGATGCACCATTTGGAGGAGGCCATGACTTCCACAACAGAAAGCCTGAGAGGTGCCCGGCTTTGTGCTGTTGGAAAGCCCTGGTGGCTGTGGGTCCCAGCTGGCTTCTCTCGGTGATAACGCGGCATTGCTATGACCACCTCTAGTTCTCTTGGATTCCGAGCTTGGAGAGAAAAGGGGAGTTTACTCATGAAGACCCCAAACCCCAGCACAGAGTGTGGGGGCAGCCAAGGGGACCCCTGGTGCTACACCCAGTCCTGGTGTGGGTCCCTCTGCACCAGGAGCAAGATCACAGATGAAGTCACTAGTGAGAACCCGGGCAGAAACCACATGTGGGTTCCAGAACTTGGCCACAGAAAAGGCCGGCATTTCTCCACATGAGGAACCAGCAAGCTGGGATCTTGTTCTAAGTCGCCTGGCCAGAAGTGGCGATGCTGGGCACATCCTCACCCTTGTGATCCCATGCACCACAATTCATTCCAGAGGGCAGCTGTGTTTCTGAGAGCTTGTTATACTTCTCTGGAAGCTTCGAGGCTGATGTGAGCATGAAGGGTGACCATGTGGACTGTGCTATTGCCACTGACAGCATCCTGCTTCTCTTCAAGAGGTGGTCCAGTTGCCAGGGCTGCGATGGTGGCAGACGTGGGGTCTGATTGGAGGTCCACGGGCCTCCATCATAACTTGCAGTGTGGCTTCACTGTTACTTATGTCATCGCCCTGATCATGTCCACCATCAGAAAGCCATTGAATGTCACCGAGTTTCAATTTCCTTAGCAGTAAGACGAAGACAGTGCTGCCAGTCATGGGGCCACCAAGAAGATGAAGTGAAGCCACCCATGTCAGGCAGGGTGCACATAGCCCCGTGACCTGGAGTGATGATGATGATGGTGACATACTTCCTTCTCTCCCCTGGGATGCTGCGAGGCACAGGGATGAACCGGCCCCTCCTAAGCCCCTGAACCTCATAGCAGCAGTGACAAGCACGGCGACAGCCAGAGATGAAGGTGGTGGCAACGGCCATGAGGGTGATGAAGATGATGACAATGGTGGCTGTGGTGATGACGGTCTTGGTGATGATGACGTGGTGGTGAGCGGGTTGAGAACGATGATGATAATGGTAAAGCGGGTGCAGGTGATGGCAGCAGAGCTGGGAGGGAAGGCTACGAGGATGGTGAGGATGCTCGTGGTGTTCAGAAGGAAGAGGAGAAATGAGGACAGAGGTGATGGGAGTGCCACCAAGGCTGACTGTGGGCAGTGCCGACACCCCATTGACAAGGAAGTGATGGCGGCTGCAGTGACAGCCATGGTAGCCGGATGGGACTGCTGCTGACGGAGAGGATGACGGCAGCTCTCACATGCCCAGCTTGCCACCTCGTTGGGCACTTCATCCTCGTTTCTCCTCCATGCACTCACACAGGACAGGAACTGTCCCAGCGTGCAAACAATGGCACCAGGAGCCCGAGAGCCCGCAAAAGACAGAACAGGATGTCAGCACCAACCGATCTTATGTGAAGCCCCAACCTTTACTGTTTCTTTCCTGCACATGAAAGAAACTTCCTACAGGAGGATGAGGGTAACAAGACAGAGTCTAAGGCTCCATAACCAAGAAACAAATGACCTGGCTAAAAAAATATACCAAACACACAGAAAACAATGAGCAGCGATGGCCTTTGAAGGGTGGGTGTGGCCAACACTTGTCTCTTGTCTGCTTTCAACATTAATGAGACATTGATATGTGCATGCTTACTTTCATGTCATTATATTATTTAAAAGTGCATATGACAACAAACTTTCTGCACGGAAGCTACCAGGAAAGCGATGTGCTAACATTGTATGTTGCAGAGCCAGCCTGAAACACAGGCTGAAGACTGACAAGTACTTGCCTTCTCTTGTTTCGAAAGAATCCTCTGGTGTAACTCATCATCAGCCTTCTTTTTAGGAAGAGATTCCAGGAGACACATTTTAAAAATCTGCATGAACATCTGCAGCCAGAAAAGGGGAGATGAGAAGAGAAAGGTTTTAACAAACGGTGTCTCCCCGTTGGCTCCTTTCCCACATCCCCCGCCTTCTCTCTTTGCACACCTCTTCAATAGGTTCATGGAAAAATGCATATTATGGACAAATGACATAGATTTAAAATTCCTTTAAATGGATCTTTTAACTCCATTTTTCCATTAACTGTTTGAAGCACCTTGTAGCTTTGGGTTCATCAGTCATGACAGGGGCCTACTACGCACTATACTTCCGCAAAGCTTTCAAAGAATGTTTCGTTTCTTCCCCATTCACTGCTTCAAGCATGTTTGTCAGGTGTCCCCTTGGTGCAAGGGTCCACAGACAAAGAAATATACAAGATAACATGGGGTTGCTTCCTGTGGACACACTCAGAGGGACAGGGGTTGAGCCACTGACACAGTGCCGCTTTGACAATGAAGAGACATCCTTCAGACCAACGAGGGCCCTCCCCCAAACGCAGCAGCCCTCGGGGGCAGGGCATGACTTCCTAAGGTTCGGCCAGGGCCGCATTCCTGCGGGTACAGGTGCACCTGAAGCCAGGAACCTCGCTGCCAGATGCTCAAGCTGGGATTTCTCATGTCCTCCAGCAAGTCCTCCCCCATAGACCTGGGTCCCTCACCTGTGAAGTGGGGGTCGCTGTGCACCCCCACCTCTGTGTCTCCCAGTGGTCATGCCTGCGAGAGGGTGGGCAGGAAGTCATGCCACTTACCATGCGCTCCTCCTGCCTCAGTGCAGCGTCCACTTGCAGCAGGGTCCTCAGGTGAAGGCTGTACACACACAGGCCGATGTCCACGCTGAGGGGTCAGGAGGTACAGATAAGACTCTCAGGCAATGAGGACTGAAGTGGGCACCCGGGCGGAATATCCCTAGTTCCTGGACCGGAAGTCCAGGGTGGTCCCAACCTGCACCAACCTGATGTCCCAAGCAGAAATTCCACACTTGCCACCATGTTCATGCACAAGAACATAAAGCACACGTGGCACTCACCACCAGATTGGGGCTCCTAACACCCCCCAGGGGCTGCCGGCAGGGACCCCTCACGCTGTCTGAATCCCAGTAATAACCAGATTGGGGCTCCTAACACCCCCCAGGGGCTGCCGACAGGGACCCCTCAAGCTGTCTGAATCCCAGTAATAACCAGATTGGGGCTCCTAACACCCCCCAGGGGCTGCAGACAGGGACCCCTCAAGCTGTCTGAATCCCAGTAATAACCAGATTGGGGCTCCTAACACCCCCCAGGGGCTGCCGACAGGGACCCCTCACGCTGTCTGAATCCCAGTAATAACCAGAAGGGGGCAGCTGGGAGGGGAGGCAAGGGACATGAAAGTCCCTTCTTTCCTACTCTGAGCCGGGTCACGTCTGTCACCATGGTAATCCTTTCTCACCGTTACAAAGGAGAGATGCGTGTACCCATTTTACTTGAGAAACATGTGGCTAGGTGAGTGCAACCTTGATCCTGCTCTTCCACGGGCAAAGGTGTTCTCAATGACCACACTCCACCCAAACTGTTGCACAAATGCTCTTTGTCCAAGGGCTGAACAACAGCCCAAGGGACGGCCCCAACCAAGAAGGCTTCCCCATGAGGGAAGTATCTCATCCCCTGGGCTCCCTTGAGGACCAATGTCAAGTTCAAGGCTCTGAGCCCATCTCCTCTGCAACCCTGAGCCTGCTAGTTCCTGGTTCATCCCTTCATAGCAACGTTAGGGCAGACAGAGGTCTTAGCCCGTGCATGTACCTGCCAGGCTGGGCCTTGAGCCCCCACCACGTGCTGACTCCTGCCCCGTGATGAGGTAATTTGGAGGAGACCTGGTTTTGTTTCTTGCTGCTGTGTGACCTCAGGCAAGCCACTTGGCTGCTGCACATCTCAGCCTGTTCTTGTCAAACAGGGCCCGGAATGTTATCCACTTCACAGGGTTGTATAGGAGAACCCATTCCTTCACTAATCAGTGTTTACCCATCCTTGAACTCAGGTTCCCCCGTTGGACAACAGGGGGCGGCAATGACAACAGGGACTTGGCCTCTGCTTTTAGAGGCCCTGGTCAGTGCTGGCAGCTACCACGCAATGCCAGGGCTCCCTGGTGACCAAAGGGAGGTGCCCTTGTCCTGTCCCTGACAGGATCAGGCCTGACAGTACCCCTGATGCTGGCTGACACTGCAGTAACAGTGCTTCTGGGACCCAGCCCCTGCTGGATTGCTTTGTGTCTATGGCTAAATCCCATAACCTTCCTGAGTTTCCGCAGCTCTCAGAGAAGCCAGCCCCTGCTGCCCTCCACTGCCTGCTCACCTCTCACAGGCCAGCAGCTCGGCAAAGGAGCGCACGCGCAGGAAGGTACGGCTGAGGAGCCTGTCGTCGCTGGCCGCCGAGTGGACGCTGGATGAGGAGCTGGCGTCGTCCTTCTCGGCCTGGCTCAGGCTGGCCAGGCTGCTGGACGGGGAGGCCTCCATGGGCTGGTGCGGCAGAGCAGCCTGCTTCAAGTTCTCATGCAAAGATGGGTTGGAGGAGCCGTCGGCCAGGGGCTGGGGGAGGATGGACATCACAGTTAGTGCCCCAGGGCTCTGTGGTGGCTGTGCGGGGGAGGCCTGGACAGAGCAGGTGGGTCAGGAATGTGGGTGCATAGGACAGGGCTTCTGCCCCCAGGGTCACAGCCACAGCCCTGGGACCCACAGCTCAGCTGTGACTATAAGGGCAGCCCCTCGGTAACAGGCTCCCACCCAGAGGCTCCTGACCTGGGCTTGTTCCCCAAATACCCACCAGCTCCTTATGCTCTGTGCCCCCCCAACTCTGACCTCGCCCCAACAACCTGTCTGCCCCGCTCCCTCTCACTGAACCCCAGCACACCTCTGGGAAAACTCCTAATGAAGGCACTGGACCACCTGTATGTGCCATATCCACCTGCATCATAGCCAGCGGGCTCAGCATGTGTCAGCCCTTGCCTCTGTCCCACCTGCTCCGTGCTGCTCCAGCCACACTCATCCTAGTGACCAGGCTGGCTTGGACTGCAGCCCCTCCTCTCATTCAGGGCCTGCCCAGATCCCATTTCCATGTGTGAGACCCCTGCATTTGCTCTCTGTTGATCCACACCATCCTGCCACTAGCCACAGAGTCCAGTCTCCACTGGTTCCCAGGGGTCTCAGGGAGTTATCCCTTCTCTGATCTGGCACAGGATGTGTTTAGATCTGCCGAGGCCAGGGTGCCTCCTGTGAGAGGCTGAGTGTGCATGGCCACCAGAACACTCTCCCCACTGCCCTGGGGCCCAGCCCCTGGGCTGTCCCACAGTGAGTGAGAATGGCTCAGAGCAGGACTAGGTGTCCAGTGTGGGCTGCAGAGCGGCTCCATCAGCCTCTGCTGCTCCCACAAAGGTGGGGTGCTGTGGGAAAGGCTGCGTTAGAAAGAATGATTTCTTCGGTGTAGGAAATCTCAGAGACCTCAGTGTGCTTTGAGTGTCCTCAAAGTCTAAATAGTGGACCTGGTACGATGGCCCAGTGGCTAAATCCTAGTCTTGTAGGCACTGGGATCCCATATGGGCACTGGTTCATGTCCCAGATGCTCCACTTCCCATCCAGCTCCCTGCTTGTGGCCTGGGAAAGCAGAGGAGGACGGCCCAAGGCCTTGGGACTCCTGCATCCATGTGGAAGATCCGGAAGAGGCTCCTGGCTCCTGGCTTCCAGTGGCTCAGCTCTGGCTATTGCAGCCACTTGGGGAATGAACCAGTGGATGGAAGATCTTTTTCCCTGTCTTTCCTTCTCTGTGTAAATCTGATTTTCCAAGAAAAATATTTTTTAAAAAAGCAAATAGTAACTCTGAAAACCCAACACATGCCCACAGCTCAGCCTGCATGTTTGCTAAGACCTCATGTGGTGAGAGCATCCCTTGTGCCCATTTCACATACAAACATACTGAGGCACAGCGAGGCCAAGAAATGGGATGGAGTCAGTGCTTGCAGAGTGTGCCCTTCTGACCGCCAGTGGGGCAGGCAGTGTTTCCCTAAGCGGCTGTGAAACTCAGCCTGGAGTGGAGCCACAGGCTGCGACTTCCTGAAGCACTGTGAAACACCTCTCGGCAAAAACTCCCAGCCAGAGAGTGGCAGGTGTGCTACCTCCAGCCACATGACCTGGGGTGGCTCCTCAGCCACTGGAGACTCAGTTTCTTCCTGTGTGGAGTGGAGATAATGCCCTTTGTCTTCCGAGGACAATGCAATGTTAGAGAACCTGATGCATGACAAACAGCCAGCCCCAGCCAGCTTCACACGAGTATGCACTCAGCACTGGCTGTGCTGTCAGCCCAGGGTCAGTGACAGTGTGAGCACCATGGTCTGCGTGTGTGTGTGCCAGAAGGCAGGGTAGATGCCGCACAAGTAATCATTACGGTAATTCCTTACCCGAATGTACCCTGGCACGTGCTGACCCTGAAAACACTGTTAGAAAATGAATTCCCCTAAAGATCACCACATTGCAATGCTTCCAAATAATCTTTGTGAAAACGACCTGCCAGGAGACCCTTGACCAGGACCCCCAGTGGTGTACTCAATCCACCCACTCTCACCGACTCTTGCACTGCAATGCTATGCTCAGAACTCTCACCCGGAACTTCTGATTGATGGGGTAGATGACCTTGGCCTTGAGTGCAAAGGCTGTGATGTTGCTGCTGAGAGATGGCTCACACTCCTGGGAGGAGAGAGAACAAATGGCTTGAGCGGCTTTCTGTGACATAAAGGGGGCATGCGGGGGTCTCCAAAACACTCCATCTGTTACAGTGGCCTGTGGAGGGGACCAGAACAGGAAGAGTTGGCTCCAAGTGAGAGCTCAGTTGCTGGAAGCACGGATGGGTGGGTAGCTAGGTAGATGCTGGGTAGATGGATGAGGATAATGGATGGACAGGTGGATGGATAGATGGATGGATGGATGGATGGATGGATGGATGGATGGATGGATGGATGGATGGGTGGGTGGATGGATGGATGGGTGGATGGATGGATGGGTGGATGGATGGATGGGTGGATGGATGGATGGATGGATGGATGGGTGGATGGATAGGTAGATGGGTGGGTGGATGTGAAGTGGGTGAATGGACAATAGACAAATACTATTAGAAATGGATGACACATTCTTATTGAATTATAACTCTTCAGCTTTGAAAGAAAGGTTTTGAATAATATGAGCTTAATTAAGACTTTCCTAAGAGAATTATTAACTATATTTAAGTGGAGAAAGCAAACATACAAAATCATTCTAAGACAGCAGGAATTACTTCTAGTGTTCTGCAGCCCAGCAGGATAACTGAAGCCTATCCCAACTGATTCTAGCATCTTCCTGATCCCTCCTGTGAGGCACCTGTCCTTAGCACGGTCTGTGTTGAAAAAGGCTTTGGACACAACTGGCAGGTGGCAGAAGGGGAGCAGGAGTGGGAGCCAGGAGCCAGGACCCAGGCATGAGACAGGTAGGTGGAGGAACCTGATGGCCCCGTCTGTGTCAAGGTTGACAAACGCCTCTTGCAGAAAGAACCCCCTGGCAGATGACTGATTTCCTGTTATTTGTTCATCTTGCACCAAGACACCCCATCATGGGGAGCACAGGATGTATTGACAGCTCTGTGCAGGGAACAGCACTGGACTGCACATGATGCTGTTTGTCCACATCTCACAATTTCACAGCGAGGCTCATGTGAGCAGACCTTGGGTGGGCAGTAACCCTGGGTTGAGCGCCCTGAGTCTTGCCCTGTCCACTTGTTGCCTCACAAAAGCAGCCTTGGCAAGACTGGGGAAAACGATCGTGGGCACTAAAGATTGTTATGGCTGCTTCCCTGATGGGGAGTGTGAGACAAGGAGGGCTGAGGCCACATGCCCAAAGTCACACAGCCAGGAAACGCTGCAACCACATCCCGCGGCTCCAGGTCTGATGTCACATGGGGTCCTTCCACCTGACAGCAGTCACAAGGCTCAGACATGGAGGTCCAAAGGCCCCTGCGTGCCCAAGGCCTCAAGTCCAAGATGCTCAAGGTTCCCACATTCCCGCTCCCCACATTCAGCAACACCCCCAAATCCCTATACGTACCCTCCTGTCTCAGTGCTTGAGCTCCTGTCACCCACGTAGCAGATGCCCGTGGAGTACTGGGCTTTGCTTGAACCTGGCTCAGCTCTGCCTGTTGCAGGCATTTGCGACTGAACCAGTGGAAGGAAGGCATCTCTGTCTCTTGCTTTGTCTTTCGAAATTGTGAAAATAAATATGTGTTGTTTTTAAAAGACTTTCAGGACAGGGAAGCTTCCTGGCAATGGCCGGTGACTGTACTCACTGTACACCTAGGACACCGTGCTGACTAATTTCCCAAGACAGACTCATTCACTGGAAAGATGCGGGAGCAGAGACCACTGCACGTTCACATAAGCAGAGGTGATAAGAAAGGCCAGAAACAAAACTGTGAGCCACGAGAGCAAGGCTCACCACCCTCCCAGAATTCACTCTGCAGGGGGCATGCAAAGCAGTGCACACACTTCACGAGGAAACCTTCCAACAGCAGGCTCCTGGTGAGCCCTGTGCTAGCAGCCGCCAGAGCAAGGCAGCCTGGACAGGCAGCCTGGCTTGTCCTGGCTGTCCCGTTCACCTGCAGACTGCAGCTCCCTGGAACGTAGGCCGGGAGCAAGGTCACAGCCCTGGCCAGGAATGAGAAGCCTTCTGAAACAAGGTGGGAGTGCAGATCTAAGGGGTAAGACTGCTTGCATGGTACGCAAAGCAATCTTTCAGAACACCGGCTAAAGCATAATTGCTGGTCTCACCAACATAGCAATCACGCTGGCATGTGCTGAGAGCCCCAGGCCAGGGCAGCAGGACAGCATGCCTGGGAGCCTTCTGGAATTTCCTTTAGTTTGGGCTGATCTGAGCTATTCATTAAACGAAGTCACCCAAATGCAGCAGCACGCATCACAGAGCCTGGCTTTTCTGTGCCGTGTAGACGAGGGAGGCAGAGCCTGACCCAGCAGGCCACACAGCCCTGTTCGCAACCCGGACCAGCTCAAGCCCTAAAGCCTCCGGGGCTAGGCAGGCCCTTACCTCAGCAGCTGGCAATGATTAGCCTGGCTGTGGGCATCCTCTAGGCATGGCTGGCTCGTGACCAGGCAGGAAAAAATGGGTTACGCTTCCAGGGGTCAGAAGACCAGGGCACCCTGTGAGTGTGTCAGAGACGTTCACACCCAGCCATGGAAGAGAGACCCGCAGGTGCTGGCAGCAAGTGCAGAGGCTGGGTGGGGAGTGAGCTCCCAGGGCTGGGCCAGCCTGGCCATTCCTCAGGAGTGTCACCTGGGAAAGCCACCTACCCCTCAAGCCTCGGCTCCCTCATTTGGAAAGGTCGTCCCTCGGGGTGGCTTCTGAGGGCTACGTGAGACCAGTGATGTGGGCGTTTACAAAACTCACAAAGCACAGCCTTAGACTGCGTGGCATCCAGCAGGTGCACAAGGAACTTGAACGCCTTCCTATTCCCAGGGCTGCATGTCCGTATCTGTCTCTGTCTTTGAGTCTATTGTCTGCTTCTGCTTTCAACTTAGCACTCCAACTTGAGGAAGGCAGGACGTGTGGGGGAAAGTCGCCCCCTCTCTTCTCACGGAGCCCGCCAGAAGCAATGCTGTGGGCAGACTAGGTGGCATGGAGGGAGAGGCCAGCAAGGAGGGAACAGGGCACCCACCTTCTCATAGCTCTACCTGAGGCCCAACACCCCCATACCTGGACATTTACATAAAGGACATAGAACAAACAGACTTAAACACACACATTAGTTACAGCACCAGACCCCGAAAACCACCCCATCCGCTCAGGCGCTGGCCCGTTGCTGAGGAATCCTGGTGAGCCAGGACTTGCTCACGGCGGCCATTTCCAGAGCCATCATTAGGACATGTCACTGACATTCACGGCCAAACTTCTCAGAGTGACAGGCCTAGGCATCCACACGCATAAAGCTCTAGAACAGTAAGCACAGCCCAGGGTGATGCCATCAGAGCCGTGGCTGCCCATACGTGTGTGTGTGCGTGTGTCGGGTGGGGGAGAAGGGGAGGCTGACTGTGAGAGGCTCACCTGCAGCACACCTGAGCGGTCAGGTGGGCAGGATGTGGGGAAGCCCATCCCTGTCCACCCCCCGTACCACGTGTCACTTACAGCCAGGGCCTCCTCGTCGTGGGACGTCTGGGCATCCCTTCTCCTCCTCCGTGGTGGGGAGCCGGATTCCGGGGGGGTCTGGGTGTCACACTCCAGATTCTTGAGCAGACTTTGATTGTCTTCTTTCTAAACCCCGGGGTGGGGGCGGGGCAGGGGGAGGGAAGCAGAACACTGCAGCCAAGCAGTCCTGTCCCACTGGGACACCAGATGGCCGCTTCCGCTCGCTTGTGGTGCCACCTGCCTCTCCGTGTCCACCCACCTAGGGTGGGGGATGTGGAGAGGACACTGCACATTCTTCGAGCCATCCAGGTCACCTTCCTCTAAGAGCCCTGGGGTCCCACTTGCCCCGTTTTCCTTTTGGGTCACTTTGGACTGTGAGTATCTTGGGGCTCCCAGATTTGCATGTGAGGGCTGACTCCTGCTGGTGTCAGTGATGTCCCTGGGCGATTTCTAACAAAATCTCTTAGGAGACTTTGAACCCCAGAGGGACTGGGAGCCTGAACTGATGATGATTATCTGTGCTTCTGTGTTGGCAGAAACAGCTACTTGCTGAAGCTTGGCTCAGCCAGGATCAAAGCCCAGGGGCCATCCTGGTCCTTCGGGGAAATCTGACTGGGCAAGGCCCATCCTCTTGTCCTCTGCCCCTCCTTCCCTCCTTCCCATGCTGTGAATGAGTGTCTGGGTATGGGTGATCCTGTGGTTGCCTGAGTCCCCGCGTGAGGAGCTGGCAGATGCTGCAGTGCTTCTAAGCACAGGCAGCCAGGCTGCACCAACAGAGCAGCTTCACGCGTGAGCTCCAGGGCTGTTGGCCTGAGTTGGCCTCTACTAAAAATGGTTTTCGAACAGAAGCATCCAGAAAACCATGCAGCTGACCATCTGCCGATGGAAACGCTCTGACTGGAAGTGCCATGGCATCCTCAGTGAATCCAAAGACCCAACTATGGCTAAGAAACACTCCACAGCTTCCTCTCCGACCAGCGCGGCCCCCAGATGGGACCGCTGACAGAAGTAATGTCACCAGCTCTCAGGGGACTGGCCGGCAAGTGTTAGCAAGCACCTGCTCTCTGTCAGGCCTTATCCTAGCATCGGGAACAGAGGAATGGAAGAATGGAGGGGAGTTTGGTGGGCAAGGTGCAACTTGAGAAGCAACTGGAAGGAAGTGAATGAGTGAGTCTGTGAGCAGGTTCAGAGGAACAGAAAAAGTTAAAGGCCCTGAGGGAGGTGCCTGCAGCTGGAACAGTCTGGGGTGACCATGGGGTGCAGACAGAGATGGATGGCCAGGAGTTTGTGCAGGTGGGGTGGTGGTTAGCATACTCAGCGACATCATCCTATGGGGAGGCTCACTTGGAGGGGTACCTCACTCATCCCACGGGAAGTCAGTGTTTTAGGGGACAGACTCGACTGTGAGAGAGAGAACCCAAGACAAATGAAGGCAGGACACAGATACTGGGGAAAAACTCAGAACAATCAACAATCATTCTAAGCTAAGGCGTGGCCCGTGGTAGATGTTTTTAAGAACAAGAGTGTGCTCCTAAAGATCAAAGCTATAAATGCTCCAGCGCAAGCGGAACATTGAGAGGCATCTCTCCCAGAGAGCAGAGATGGGAAATGGGGGCGAAGGAAGACGGTCATGGGAGGCCCAACTTGACCCTGAGCATATCAGGATAAATAATAGTCATAATAATATTGAAAGAAGCAAGAGAAGATACATGTGGCAAAGAATCACAGAAGAAAGCTAGAAAATATTTCTTAGGTGGAAAAGGTTCCGTGTGCTTCCAGCACCATGGATGACACCAAGCTCACCTTGGCACAGTTTCCAGGACCAGAAGCAAAGAAGCCACGTCTTCAGAACCCACAGGAGGGAGAAAGGAAGATAGGATTTCAAGTTCCACATCCAGGATCCAGATGGAGCTAGTTTGCTCAGCAAGCCATGCTGCAAGTTGGAAAAGACAACAGAAGACACCTTCCTGATTCTAGAGAAAAAGGATTTCCTGTCCAGAATCCCAACTAACCTAACCACATCAGGTCTAAAGATGGGGGGAGCTCCCTCCACCTCCTTCTCAGAAGGCTGCTGGAGGAGGCGCTCCAGCCAGACAGAAAACTCATCAAATCAAACAGGAATACTGGGCATTCCCAAACAAGATCCAACCAGGACAGAGCTGAGAAGTTCCCCAAAGATGCAAGACCCTGCACATATGCGTGCACGCACACACACAGCTCCTGGTGACAGTAAAAGCCCTAGGGCAGCTGTTCTCAAAGTTTACCAACACACAGTTTGCAGGAAGGGAGCCTGTGGGGTGGCCTCCCAGAGATGCCCACACACTGAGTCTCCGGTGGTCAGGAATCCGCATTATTCCTGCAGTGCTGTGGTCCAGACAGCAACCAGCTCCCCCTGGAGCAGGGAGGCACATCTCTAAGAAGACAAGATGGGTCTAGTATGAACTGTACCCAAATTGTACTCAGATGTGTTTAGAGGAAAGGCAGGCCAAGGGGAAGTGAATGAGCCCACAGAAGCTGAGCAAATGGAGACAACAAAGAGCTGAGTGTTGACTTCAGGGGAAAAGCAAAGCCTTGGGCAGGAAAGGAAGGTGCTTGGAACCCCCTTGGTCCTGACTGACCAGGAATGCCGGAGACTTTGTAACCACAGAGAGCTAGCCTAATAACCGTGGCTGGGGAGGCATGCTTACAGGGAATGAGGGAAAGACAGCAAGGCCTCTTGACTTGCCAAAGCAGAGTCGACAGTCCAGTTGAAGGCACAGCAACATGGCCGGTAACTCAGTGATGGAATGCAAACGAACCACCAGAAGGGGCAAGCAAGGTAGCTTTCATGAAGGGGGCAGTGCAAGATATGCAGGAGTGTCGCTACTGTAACTGAACACTTTCAGTTCCATGTGGGGACAATTCTGAGGCTAATAAAGATGCCTCCTAATGAGACCAATGCAAACAATAAGACAAAAACCACAGGGGAAAGTGGTGCAAGGTAAGATTGTGAGCTGTGTGGCTGGGGAACCCAAGTGCCCAGCAAGCAGAATGGAGACCAGTGTGTCCCCATGTCCTCTGGGCTCTGGGGCCCAGGCTGAACAGGGCCAGAGGTGAGCAGGCAGTGTGACACATGTGCAGGTGCATGGCATGGCAGCTTCCTGCATGTGCCTCCTGGGTGGCAGCTGGGGAAGGCTCTGGTTCCTGTCGCACACACAGGAGACTTGGATGGAGCTCCTGCCTCCCGGCTCAGGCGGCTTGGACCAGCATTCTGGGCATGAACCAGTGGCAGGAAGTTTTCCCTCTCTTTGTCTTTCAAATGCCCACATGTGCTCTGCCGGGGCCTGGCATCTGCACACTGTACTGGTGATTCCCCTCCACTCCTCACACAGGACGCTGGTCCTGCATCATCGGCAGCATCCATATCCCCCGCCTCGCTGCGCTGCTCCACCTGCAGCTCTTCCTACAGCATCCCCAGCACGCACACCCCACACCGCACACAGCCCGCGCTTCTGCCTGCCCCGAAGCTCATCTTCTCCTAACTCCTAGTGACCTGGAACGGTGAGCCAGGGCCACACAGAGGCAGCAGCTCCAGCGTCACACCCCTGCTGGAGCACACACACCCATGCCACCAGGACCGCTGTCCCAGGATGCACTCACCGCCTCTTGTGCTGGCAGCCGCTGTGACAGATGCACTCTGTCACGTTGACAACTGCATAACCTCTCCCTGCAGACTTCCTCAGATGCAAGGCAGTGATGTGAATGGAATGGGCCGGGGGCGGGGGGGGTCCCCAGCATGCAGCCTGCAGTGGGCAACCCCGCCAGCGTTCCCAGGTCCAAGGCCCCAGGCTATACCATCCTCACATTTACCTGTAATGCAGCCAATCCTACCCTCCCTGGCCCAGGATTCCCAGGCATTCAACGAGCCTCCTGTAGGGCTGATGAATGGACAAATGCATGAATGTGGTGGCTGGGACACAGGAGCGGTCAGTCAACCCACGCAGCACAGAAGCAGGCGTGGGCGCCCGGAAGGCGGTCTCCAGCACTCAGACCTGGGCTCTACTCTCAGCCTCCTACCCAAACCCTCGGTGCTGTGAGGAGACTGAGGCCCTTTGCGTGGGCGCTGCAGGCTGAAACCCCAGGTCCCATGGGGAAGGTGCAGGCACTCCCGCGGAGGGGGGCAGTGTTCCAGGGCAGAGGCGTGGGTGGCTTCCCCCCACCCCAAGCTCCCTTTCAAATCACTGCCTTGCACTCTGGCCGGGAGCAGACAGGGCGGGGGACCGGGTACCCGACGCTGGAACTAAAGTAAGGCTCCGGGACTCAGAGAAGCCGGAGGGCCGCGCTCCGCCCCGCAGCTGCCCGCTTGGCCCACCCACCTGGAGCCGCGGGCGCAGGCGGCCTGCGCGGCGGCCGAGCCAGAGGCCGAGGCCCACTCCGAGGGCCGCGCCCAGCAGCACGGCGGGGGCCAGCAGCGCGGGTGCTGGGCGCAGCGCGTCCCGGCCCAGCGGCAGCCGCGCGTCGCTCGCGCAGGCCATCGGCGGCGATCAGGAGGCGCGGGCCCCGCATCCCGGCCGCCGCGCGCTGCCCCGGCCCGCCAGCTCGGCGACGCGGGTCCCGCGGCCGGTGGCCCAGGGCGCGGCGAGCTGGCCGCCTCTTTGGCAGCTCTAGCCTCGGCTCCCGCGGTTCTCCCGCCTCTCAGCTCCGCTGGGCTGGAGGGAGGAGCCTGCAGCGTCCGCCCAAAACTTTGAGCTGCTCCCGCTCCCAGCACTGAGCATGCTCGAGCGGCGCGCAGAAGCCCCTTCCTGGAGAGACTGGGGGAAGAAGAGGGTTTGCGGGGAGGGGGCAGGAGGGGGACCAGAACCTCCAATTCGTGAGGAAGACATCGTTCCTTCAAGTGCACTTGAGCGCTTACGACCTGCTAGGAGCTTGGATTGAAAAAAATTTGTTTTTAAGATTTATTTATTAGTTAAGTCAGTTATTCAGAGAGGAGGAGAGACAGGTCTTCTGTCCGCTGATTCACTTCACTAGCGGTCCTAACGGCCGGTGCTGCGCCTATCTGAAGCCAGGAGCCTGGAACTTCTTCCAGGTCTCCCTCGCGGGTGCAGGGTCCCAAGATTTTGGGGCATCCTCAACTGCTTTCTCAGGTCACAAGCAGGGGGCTGGGTGGGAAGTGGAGCTGCCGGGATTAGAACCGGCACCCGTATGAGAACCTAAGCCACTAGGTTACTGCGCCAGGCCCTGGGATGAGATTTCTAGGACCTATCTCAAACACCCTTTGTGATGGGCACGCATGCGCAAGTACACAGACACGCAATCATCCATGCAAACACATGCATGGGTACACCAGGTGCAACAGGCCCACAGCCACAAGGCCACACACGCAGGCATTCACAAACACGGGCACACAGGCACACATGTATATACGCCCAGAGCCTCGCGCACACACACGTGCACACTAGCAACACGCTGGCAAGAGTACACACACAAAGCAGCTGTGTCCACTCTTGGGTAGCGGAGGGGCCCAAGAGGGCAGGGCACCCAAGGGAGACACCTGTGGGCTCAGCCTGCACCTCTGCTCAGTGTCCATTGTGCCTCACCGCTTCCTCCTCCATCCTTCTGGGCTCCTGCCCCGCCGGGCGCACAGCGTGGGGCCTGCAGCCCCCAAGCTGCTGCTTCACCTCGGTGCCCCTCAGGATATCCCGGCGTTCCTTGAAAAAAACACGCGATTCTTGGCACTGAACTCGATTATGAAGCTGTTGGAACTTCTCAGTGCCGCAGAGTGGTGAGCGCAGCCAGAGCTTGCCACTGACCCTGAGTGTTGGTCCCCAGGAGGGTACTCCTGGGGGTGGCGCACCCGGTGGTGGGCTCAGCTGGGTCACCGCTTCCCAGAGACAGACCGCATGGCCCGGCCAGGTCAGGTCCGGAAAGGCTGTTTTTGGAAAGTGGCTGCTGCCCGATGAAGTTCAGCCCCGGGTATGGAGCGAGCGAGCGAGCCTAGGCACGGCGTCCAAGTCCCCCAGGCTCGCCAAGCCCCAGATGCGCCTGTTTGTCCCAGAAAACTTTTCCCGGCGGCTCGCACTGAGCATGCTCGGCGGCGGGGCGGGCCCGGGTCCGGAAGCTCCGGCAGCTGCGCGGCGCTGGGGCTCTGAGGGGTTGCGGGTCCCCGGCGGGCGATGGGCACCCGGGGATGCCCCGCGCGGGTGCCGGCCGGGGGCCTCCTGGTCGCGCTCCTGGCGCTCGGGGTCCGAGGCAGACTCCCCACCAGCCCCCTGGATCCCCTCGGGGCCCCCGGGGCTGAGCTCGGCGGCTCGGCGGGGGCCTGTCCCTGGCGACGCGAGGCGGGGCCCCAGCGGACCGCACAGGTAAGGAGGGCCGCCTCCCAGCCGCGTCCCAGGGCTCACTGGGCGGGCCTGGCTGGGTCCGCACCGGCGCCTGGGCGGCCCCTTAGTCTCTGCCAGAGAAAGGGGCGGAAGGAGCCCCGAGGATGCGCCGGGGGTTTCACAGGTGCGCTGTGCGTGCAGACCTGGAAAACCAGGGGAAGGCACGGACGGCGTCTTTGGTGGCCTTGGGTTTCACTCTGCTCTGGGTTCGAATCCGACCCTGCATCCTTCGAGGGCGGCCCAGCACTCTGGGCCTCCTTTCCTGATCTCCAAGTAGGGGTCCTGGCTGTACCCACCTCCTTCCGCTCGCCTTCCCCGCCTCCCGCCACTGTGGCCATCCAGAGCCCACTCACTCCCCTCACCTCTGCTATGTTGAACTCTTCTCAAAACCTGTGCAGAATCCATATAGTGTTTCCTGTTTACAGTCGGGGTCCCAGCTGCGCTGGACGGCTGTGGAGCCCCCTGCCTGACCCTCCTGCTCCGGCCTTGTCTCAGCAGAGCAGCTTGGGAGTCCTGAACACACAGCCTATGCGGCATCCTGCTCTTCGTGGGGTAGCCTGCCCTCCAGCCCCTCTGCACTGGGCGCCAGCTTCCCTGGGGGACCTGGGGGCCTCCATTACCTCTCGGCCTCTGGCTCCCCAGCTCTGCTCAGGCGCGCTGGCCTCCCCGCTGTCCTTGAGCACCACAGGGCCTTGGTATGCACTGTCTGCAGATGCTCTTTGCTCTCACGGAATAAGCAGCAGCCCAGGGCACGCCCGGGACAGGAGCTGCCAGGTCAGGCCTCGGCTGTCCTTCTGAGTAAGAAGGGAACTGTGGATGGTCTGATTCCCGGGGTGACAACGGCTTCTTTCCTCTGTCCCCGGCCTTCCTGGAACATGTGAGCAGAGATGACAGAGCAGTAGGGTTAGGAGGTGGGTGGGGGAGCAGACTGCTGATGGAGAGGCTCTGGATCTTGCTGGTGGGTAGTGGGCAGCTGGGAGGGTATTGGGTTCTGGGGGCTCCTTTGAAAGTGGGGCCAGACAAGTGTGGACTGGGACTGGACGCACCAGGCCAGGCTAGACTCCAGCACTATCTGGTGCTCTGGAGGACCAGGGTAGATGTAGGATGGGCTAGGCTAGGTTTCTGCCTCTACTGCGTCATGAGTGAGCCGTGTCTGGGTATGGACAAGCCTTGGCTGAGCTGAAACATCCAACAGTAAGAACCAGAATGGGTTGAAGGCCAGTAAGGAAACTCCACTGTTCCTATTAGGACAGCAGGTAGACTAAGTAGGGCTGGCTCATGGACCCACCGGTATGTGGGAGATCTGGCATTGGGGGAGGTTCTGATGGAGGAGCCGGAGCAACTCCTCTGGCAGGACACAGTCCCTGCAGGTGAGTGCAAGAACCACAATAGGAAACAGCCCAGACCAGGCAATGAAAGGTACCCACAGGCATACATTTGGCATAGCTCAGAGGCAGACCAGGCTGAACCAGTTGACATCACCCGCTGACAAATCTGAGTACCAGAACAGGGTGTGGCTTGGGCCAGGTATGGTTGCAACACATACCAGTGCACATTAGGGCTGAGATTGGATGCCTGGTGGGCTGGGGTAGGCTATAACCCTCACCAGCGTCAGCTGGAATTGGAGGGTGGGCCAGGTTGGGCCAGGCTACAACATCCACTGGTAAATGCCAAGGTGAGGTGGGCCATACCAGACTGGGCCACAGCGCCCAACCAGCAAGCGTGAGAACCAGGGAGGGAGGAGGCAAAGCCAGTAGGGGGAACATGGAGGGCTGCCCTGCTGAACAGCCGCTCCCATTGGAGAGCATGAGCTGGGATGGGGGAAGACCAGACCAGGCAGGGCTACAGCATCTGTGGGCCTCATATGGACTAGATCAGGGAAAAGCCAGGCTGGGCTGATTGTTCCTACTGGTACAAGCATAAATTAGAGTGAGTGAGGATTGGTTGAACTTTGCTGCAGCATCAGCTGGCAGATGCTGGCACTGGGGCTAATTCTGTCAAGTTACACTGCAGACTCACCTGGAGAAGGCATAATCCAGGAGTGGTCTAGGAGGGAAATAGTGGGCACCTCCCTGTTGGGTTACCACTCCCACTGGAGAGCATGAAAACCAGGACGGGGCAGGGGTGGCTAGACAGAACAGCACCTGCCAGTATGTGTGAGGGCTGGAAAGCAGGGTTGGTTGGGTTACACTAGGCTTCAATGCCCATTGACATGTGTGAGAGCTAAATGGGATATGGGACAGACTGAACAAGTCTGCTGTACATACTCGCAAGCATGGGAACTAGGGTAGGGGCAGGCCTGGTGGGGGTTATGGGGAGTCGCCCCAACTAGGCTATACTCCCATTGGTTTGCGAGAGGGCTGAGCATGAAGTGGGCAGGATTGGGCTAGACTGCAACAACCATTGGTTCACAAGGAAGACAGGGCTGGAAACAGAACTGGCCCAGAAATTGCAACCACCAGCATGTGCATAAGCTGATTGGGGCGACGGTCTGTACCGGATCCTGTACTGGGAAGCACATACAAGGATCAGGTCTGGGATCACCTCAGATGAAGTTTCTCTGGGGATCCCTCCAACTGAGCTGCCGGTCTCAGAACTCCAACCATGAAAAGACTATGTCAGCCAGTGGACTCTGAAGAGATTTCATCGTGCTTGCAGCGGCAAGATTGGAAGCAATTCAGAACTGCTGAACTATCAAAACTGCATGAGCAGGACCCTCGGAGCATGCCCAACCTCGGGGATCTGGGATGGGTGGGAGGCTGGATGGGGCTTCTCCCTTTATCTCTTCTCTTACCCCAGATACAGAAAAATAATAATAATGTGGAAACAATGGTCTTACCCACTTTCCTGTAGCCCTTGACCCTTTGTGCCCTGATCAACTATGTAAAGATTACCAAAATGAAAGAATAAAAGAAAGCAAGAAAGTGGCCATGGCGGGGACATGAGGAGTCGCTGGAATGCTGTGTGCTGTGCTGGGGAAGTGACGTGAGTGGCTAGCTGGCCTCCCTGCCCAGCTTGCAAAAGAAAAAAAAAAAAGGAGGGCATTTTGTCCGTATTTTGATAGTTCATAGAACAAGCTTTATGTTTGTTTTGAAACTATTGAAAACTGTTGCCTGACCTAGGCTTATTACTGGATTTGTCTTTCCTGATAACTG